ATCTGTTTCTAGTCTTGCCCCCCCGTCTACAAATACCGGTCCCAGTCTTCGACCCAGAACTCCCCCTGATCCCAAACCTGGCTATGTCATTCAATCTCCCGACTCTGGCAAATCTGTTCATCGCACCTCAGATGATAGTGATTTACCGAGTGATTTATTTGTACCAAATTCCCCTGATCCCAATGGAATCGATTCCAACTCCGATGACGACTCTGTTGTTGAAGTCACTCAAGCGAAGGATTTCTTATCAGTCCTCAAAAAGAAGAAAAAATCTCGAAAGGTGATACCTGCTAACAATCCGCGCGGGAAAGGTAAAGGTCGCCCCAGAGGCTCTGGAGCTTCAGCGACCTTGCCTCGAGGGCCATCAAAGAAGCCTAAAAAGGCTGTTGGTATACCGGTAAGTACCTCTCAGCAAGCTATTCTTCGGTCCAAAGCTAATTATGCTCTTCATTATCTTCCAGCCCGGGATTCCTGATTGCATTGACATCAATCAGGAATCCGACATCGAGATAGTTGAGACGCTGGGTGTTTGACGGGCTCAACTCGGCAGGGTAACTAAGTTGCTTGAGTACTTTCATCCTCCAACTCATATACGAGGCGAGGTGAGTATCACATTTGATTTTTTTCTTTTCCTGATTCCTTTTTTGATTCTTTTGTAATTTGTTTTCTAATTCTTTTCTCTGTTTCTTTCCTTTTCTTTCTTCCATCTTTTATAGACGGATGATGATCCGAGATCATACAAGTGTCGGTGGTGCCTTGGCAGGTTCATACGCGGCCATCGCACCCACTATAACCTCTACACTCATCGTGATGGCGCCAAAGGTCAATCAGCCTGTCCTTGACGAACTCAAGCTATTGCTGCTGGTGTTCAACTGCCACCCACTTGGGCTGAAGAACAAGCCCAATCTGCTTCAGCTATGAATGAACTCAACGGACAGCCGACTCTTGATGCTTACCTCTCACAAGCAACTTTCAGTGTTGACTTGTGCAACACTGTGCTGGTAATGTGGATTCTAAAACATGCTCTTCCTTTCAATCGGTTCTACGACGTACCCCTCCGTGCGGCTTTCAAGTTGGCCAATCGCCGAGCTGAATTGAGAACTCCCACTTGGGCCGCTGGTGTGGCCAAGGAGTTATACCTCAGCTTGAGCTCAGCAGCCATTGCATTAGTTTTTGTAAGTTCTGTTTTCTTAACTACCATCAAGATTCTTGATTTCATTCTGACAGTCTGATACTTGCAACAGAATAACTCTAGCAAGTTCTTGTTAGTCCATGACGTTTGGACCACCAAGGGAAATCAATATGATTTTATCGGAGTTTTGGCCAACTACATCGACGACAATTGGAATTACAAAACCATTCACCTTAGCTTGAAGTTAGTTTCTTGGAATAAATTTGGATTTTTATTGGCGCAACCAGTGGCACGATTCTTGATTGCTCATGGTCTACACAAAAAGATGAGTTTATATTTGCACTTTCTTTCAATTTTTTTCAACTAATCGTTTACTTTTTTTTCATTCAATTCATTACATGTTAGGACAAACCACCGATTCCGGCTCATCCAACAACACCATGGCCAGGGAAATGGAGGTAATGTTTTCGGAATGCAATGATTCGATTGACTGGGATAGCTCTAAGAACCATGTTTGGTGCTTCGCCCATAAGCTGGGTTTGATTGTGAAGAAAGGTTTAAAAGTACTTGGATTGGCCGCCGGTCAGATCAAGCCCTCCACTCCTCTCAATGCTTCTGTTCCGATTCCAACTGTGCTTTTAAACGATGATCTCACCGAGGATGTCATCAACTATGATGAATCCGACGATGAAGATGATCTACTCAATCCCAAACCTCATTGCAACACGGGAAATCCAGCTCTCGAGGATGATATAGATGATGATTTATCTTATGAAGATGTTCCAATTGATGCCTGTATTTTCGTTAAAGGTGCGATGAAGGTGAGATTTGTATATACTCTTTTCCCTTTCCTTCGTCTTCTTGTTTCCAATTGCTGACCACAATTACTTCTTAGTTGAAGGATTTCAATGCGTTGCTCACCCGGAGCAACGCTAGGCGAGGTGAATTTCATGCGCGTGCGGATCAGATGGGATACCACGGACCAGGTCCAATTGCTGGGTGGGGTGTGAGGTGGAACATCAATCTGGCAATGTATTCTCACCTTGTGGCTGCACGAGATGTAAGTTTTTCGAATTTGGCTCTGGTCTGAAGTGGAAGTTGAATGACTTACTTACACATTTACCAAATCTTCTTAGGTGGTTGATTTGATTCTCATTGGTGATAGGAAAGCTCGTTATTATAATGGCATCATGATGTCGATGGACGAGTGGGACGCTGTTGATTCATTGTGCAAGGTGCTAGAAGTAAGCATGTTTTCTCTTTTCTCTTTCTACTCTCTTGGATTCCTGTTGACTTTGGGATTTAGATCTTTCGCCTGTCAACTAAACGCATGGAAGGCAATACCATCTCCGGCTCAATGCTACTTGCTGAGTATCTGCGAGTGAAGGAATCTCTTGCTGAACTTCGTACTACTGCTATGCCATCAAGTCTCCAACACATGGTGGCAGTCATGTTAAGCCAGCTTGCCGTTTATCAGGACAAAGCTTTGTCCTCTGATGTGGTCATCTTGGCTACCGTTCTCAACCCCAAATATTGGGTCCGGTTCTTTGAGTTACACTATCCAGATTACGCTGGTCGAGCTAAGCAACTAATTGAAGAAGTCTTCAACGCTTCTCTCGAAAATTGGCCAGTCACCCCGGCCTGCACTCCATCTCCAACTCCTACTGCTGAATCAGATAAAACTTTTGATCAATTTGACTTGTTCACTTACTCTGCAACCCTTCAAACTGCTGAATCGATCTGGGCATCTGAACTTGAGTCTTACCTGCAGGGCAGCAACCTCATTGTTCCTGGCCAAACGGAATTGTCCTGGTGGGATGTAAGTACCCTTTTCACTCACATCCATTTGATTGATGGACTAACTCATCACACTTTGATCTTCCTGTGGCAGCAAAATCAGTCTACTTTCCAGGTTCTTGCTTCTTTGGCACGGGATTATCTCTCAATTTTGGCTACCTCGTGCGCTTTGGAACGAACCTTCTCCTCAGCGGCTGACATAGCTGTTCCTGGACAAGGTTCCTTGAAACCCAAGACCATCTCTCGTGCAGTTGGATGCAGAGAATGGCTCAGAGCTGGTATCATGACTGATGTCAAAGATAAATTTTTTGATGCTCTTATGTATCTTTCCTCATTTGCAAGCCACACACAAAAATGAAGTCAATTCAAATGTTTTCCTTTTGTTTTATTGGTCTTATCTTTGGTCTTTTTTTCTTGAATCTTTTTATACATACTCGTCCTTGTTTTTCTCGTCGCTTATTATCCTTTGTCACTCGTTAGGCTTGGGCTTGGTCTCTCTTGTTTCACTTTTTCTTCTCGTTTCTTATTTCTTATTCTATTTGATTGCTTATCAACTTTTGTGGTTTGTAGTACATGGTTATAAATCACAATTCTACTTTTTTTCTTTTTCCCAATGTTCTGCTTTCTTTCTTACTGTTTTGTTGTGTCTTAAAATTTCAAGTCACTCATTTATATTCCCTTTAGTTTGATTCTTTCTTTTTGTCAAACTTGTACATACCCTTACGTTGCATTGTGAATACTTAAAAAAAATTGTGAATAATTACCGCCTCGGGCCGCTTCCTTCGCTTGGAATTTGTCATAGCGGAGCGAGAGCGGCTATCAGAGCCGCTGTGCTACACAAGCTATGTAGCGGGTGATCTTTCACAGCGGATCAATAGCGGGTTCCCTTTGAAGCGGAATATCGTCCCGCTGCAAAAAAAACCGCCGGAAAGCGGATCGAAGCGGTGCGCTTCAGATGTTGTCTGTAGTTAATTTGGGGGTTTCAGGGCAAAAGTTGTGTTTTCCATATTTAATGTTATATGATTTCAATTTGATTGTAGATCATTCTTATATAATCATCAGTTATTTACATTAAATTTATTCAATTTGAATCATAAATTGTAATCAGAAAGAAGAAAGATAAGAAAATCCATAAAAAAGTCAAAAATGTAGGTATATCAGGTGGTAGATGGTTTTCAGGGCATTAGGAATCAATTTGAAGGTTCAGGAAGGTTTTATTAGGAAAGATCATGATATTTTTAATCATCAAAGAAAGAGGATTGATAAGAGAGGAGTGAAGTTATTCAAGAAAGAGGGAAATTCAAGGATGGTAAACAAGGATACTATATGCGATTAATACATATGTAATGATGTTGTCGAAGGATTTAATGGCACTAAGAGTTCTTAGAGTGCTCTTTAAGGTTATTCTTATGGATTGATTGATCAAAAGTGATCTTATGATGTCGGAGAAATCAATATCAGATGTGAAAGGAGGTGAAAAGGGGCAAAAATCATCAAAAATGAAGTTTCTCAGCTAATTACATTTGTCAAAACTTGTCAGATCAAGATGGGTGATACCAGGTGATACCTCAATCAACGAAGAATGTTCCATTTCATAATGTACAACCTTTAAACCAATGTTGATTAGCATCTAGTGGTTTGGACATATTCACCGAATTCACAATTTGGAACAAAAGCAAATAAACCTAGGAAAATTGAATGATGTAGATAGAAATGCGTTGTTTTGGCACCTTCTATGAATACGATGAATGACTACCCAAGGAATGGTTCCAAGGAATGGAAGATAACCATGTGCCAACTTTCTACACCGTATCAAATTGTTGAAGTCGTACACGAACTCGCAAACAAATTCAACTCGACCTCCAAGGAGAGACCGAAGAGATAAGAAATAGATGTGTATTGCTCAGTCTGGGTCTTGTCGTCAATAAATGATAAGTTAGGTGAAGCTTCAATACATGATGGTCATTAGACGTTTTAATATTACATAATAAAGTTATTAAGTTTGGTTTGCAAGATAAAAAATTATCCTACTTCTATGCACCATTTTTTTACGTTATTTTTTAGGTTTTCTTTACCAAGCAATTTTAGCAACTAAAGAATCAGGATAATTCCGTACAATCCATTTCCTGGTTTCATCAATTAGTAAGATTACGATTGAAAAAGCAACTAAAAGGCAAATGATAGTTCAAATATGTTAGTTTGCTGCTATATGCTGTCGATCGGAAGAAGAACTGACCCGGAACAAGAAAACCTGCAAAACCAATCTTAGTAGTTCCTAACGTTTCTTGGAAAAATGGAACAAAAGAAATTATAAATGCTAAAATTGGACTGATGAACATTGCAGGAAATATGAAGAAATTTTTGCCAGCTCCTTGTGATCCAGGGAAATGATTTATGATTGATAACCTTCTTGTTCTCGTAGTAAGTAGAGTTCCTAAGCAAGAAGATGTTAGGTTCGCATGAAATGGTGAAGTTTAATTGAGAGGGCTTACCCCATTGGAAAAAAATGATACTGAAGAAGTAAATAGATTGTGCGGCCTTGGTGGCCTCTTCAAGCAAAGCTGCATCCACGTTAGCTTCTCCACTGAAGCACGATGAAATGAGACCACTATGGAGGCGTATGGAGTGTTGACAAGGAAGACACTTACTAAGAAAATATTATGTCGGACAAATTCACACCTCGTTTGTGGAATCCATAGCGAAGAGTGATGCCCTAACGAATTTTTGGTTGCAAAAGCTTTAGTTCAATAAGAATCATCTTGTAAAACAGAACACCTTACCAATGAAAAAATTGTTTGGAAAAGACCCAAAAACAGATATGCATGAGCAAGGGTCTTGCGATCAATCAATTTTTCCTTTGTCTGTTTCCGGGGTAATTTAGAAAGTAAGTCTTTTTCAGGTTGCTCGTAAATGAGAGCAAGTGCTGGCAAGACGTCTGTTCCAATACCTGGAAGGGAGGAATCTATGTAAATTTCTATTTGACCGAGATCAATGGCAAAGCGTTTTGCAGAATGAAATGACGAACATATGATTATCATTTGTATAGGGTTGAGAAGGTCTGGAAGACCTGCAGCTAGCACAAGGAGCATTGGGATCAACTCGCTAAAGCTTCCGGAAGGAACTATGAATGTTCGGGGTGAGACTTAGTTAGCGATTACGAGAAGGAATTGTGATGATGCAGAAACCACTGACGTAAATACAGGGTCAATTTTTTTAGGTTTTCGAAACAAAGCCTTCCGTAAAGGATGGCCGTCACGAGTGCTCCGAAGTCTGTGGATACATGTCTGTTAATTAGGCTTTGTGATAATAGTGATACAGAAATCTGACTGACCGTTTAACAAAACGAGATCTGCAGCCTGCGGTACATAAATATGGTTAGAGTGTCCGCAATATGAAGTGATATTTAATGTGACTGACCTCCATAGCCACTTCACTTCCGGATCCCATGGCTATCCCTATGTCCGCAGCTTTCAAAGCGGTTGCATCGTTGACTGAGATCATTCGAGGATGCGGGTGTCAGTATCATTGTAATCGTCTTTGATTCAAGAAATTGGGCGGGGGGTGTTCTCACCTCCATCTCCTGTGACTGCACAGACGTGACCGCTGTAATGACGTAACGATGTAATGATGTATGGATTGTCAGTGAAAATTGAGCGAGTGAAATTATCAGGTTCAGGTTCGAAAGAGAGTGAATGATAATGTACTTGTCTTGGAATCTGCGAACAATTTCTAGTTTTTGTTGCGGGGTGGTGCGAGAAAAGATGATCTCGTCAAACTCGATACATTGCTTCCATTGGGATTCATTCATCTCCCTTAGCTCCGTTCCCGTCAAGCAAATGGCACGCAGTTGCGACGCTGGCTTGGGCTTATAAGGTGCAACAAGCTCAATAGGTATATCTGCTTTGAGATCTTTGAGTCCAACTGGTTCGACTGTGAGGGCGCCAACACTTTTGCTAACGAATTTTCTAATATGAAAGATATATAAGTGATGTGTAAAGAAAGAGGAGAGAGAAATTAAACCAACGCCGTTTGGGCTAAATCCCCAGTCACGACCAAGAACCTCATACCAGCTCGGCGACATAGCTCCACCTGTGGGCAGATGATACCATGTTAGATGTATACATACAGTGAAACAAACAAACAAATCTCACAGTCTTGCCTGCATCATGCTTGGGTGGGTCAGAGAGGACTAAGAGCCCAACGACGGTCATGTCCACAACTAGGTCCGATAGAGACTTGCCGGCTGATATGTCACTGTACAAATCTAGGATGGGAAAAGTCTTGCGCGCCAACAAGATGACTCTGCTTCCTACAGCAGCATTTGCCTCTTGAGTCTTGATTAAGGCCTCCATGGCTACAGAATTGAGTGGTTCCACACTCCCGTTCGGGCGACATATGTGTGTACAGCGTTGCAGAAGTATCTCAGGAGCCTTCAAAAGATGAAGCCATTAGTCTCTGTGCATCACAGATTGAGTATATAAAACCGTGGCGAAAGCTCACCCCTTTGGCAAATATAGAAACGCTTTCGGATGTGAAGTTGGGATCACTCTGCACACCCGCGGGTGCGGATGATGTGGTTCGAGGCTTCAGGAGTTTTGCGCAGAACTTGATGTCTGTCGCGATTTTGTATTAGTTATATATAATGATATTTAGCTGATCAAAGGGTATGATTCACCTGAATTGAAGGTGAGCTCAAAGACTTCGATCCACTGCTCTTGATACTGACTGACGGGACCGAACAGATGGGCATACCTAAGTAATGAAACATCTGCAATACAGAAGATATTTAAACTTCATCGAATGAGTGGGGTCGGTGAAATCAGAATTACCTGTTGGAGTTCCATTAATGCGACTTTCTCCTTCCTCATCATCTGTGAGCGGTTCGTCACCGATGTAACGAGCGTCGTTGCAGACCGCAGCAATGGCTGCGAGGTCATTCGCTACCTTGCCCAAAGGGGATATGTCTTTTCCGTAGCTGATTAGACAATTTGGGCGTAAGTCCGATGTAGAGATCGTCTTTTTGCCAATCACGACATCCGAGACTGTCATCCGTCCCGTTGTCAGTGTGCCTGTCTTGTCTGAGAGGACCACGCTATTCATCGGATAGAATTCAGTCGAATGTTATGTGATCCGCGTTGCTAATTAGTGATTTACTCACTCCACAGTCCCGAGAGTTTCAACAGTAGCCAGCGATTTACAAAAGATCTGTATTGAATGAAAGCGCAAGTCAGGATGTAACGTACAACTGGAATCCAAAAGCTATGGCTCCCACCTTTTTGGCAGCTAGTTCTCGTGAAAGGATAGTCAATCCGAGAGTGATACATATTGGTAAACCCTGAAGTGTTGAATTCGTGTCAATCTTAAATCTACATCATTCGAGATATGTAAAAACGCATGCTTACTTCTGGGATGAAAGCGACCATAAGGGAGACGATATGAACCAGTAAGTTTGATGCTGACATGAATTTGGGATACCGAGTTCGTAGCCATCCAGCCCAGAGCACTATCCAGACGATTGCGAAAGCTACGGCCAGAATACAAATGATACTGTGGGATGTGTATGAGCGCACTAGAAATGAATACGAATCTAGGTTGTGGCCACTCACATGACAAAACGTCTGATCTCTTTCTCCAAAAGTGTCATGCGATTTTTTTGTAATGATACGAGCATGGCAATACTTCCAAAGACGGTATCTGCACCAGTGTCGACGACTATTCCTACGCCATTGCCGCTAGTGCAAAGAGTTCCTGGACAATGGAGATGTGGGTCAGCTTTTGGTGTGGATTGCCCAACAGAACACGTAAAACGCACCTTGAAGAGCCATATTATGAGCTTCAGAATCCTCTCCGATAAACACGTCCGTTGTTCCAGCAATCAAATTGCTTTCGCCCGTAAGCAAAGTGCGATCGAAGGTGAGATCTGAAGAGGCTAGAATCAGGCGCATGTCGGCGGATATTCTTGAACCAGTTGAGACCTCAAAGAATGTGATCAAGGTTGGAGTCAGCAAAGCCCACGGTGAATGGCAGTGAAGTTATTCACCTTCACCAAGTCACCAGGAACAAGTTCATCTGAAGGAATTGTGCGACTACACCCATCTCTCAATACAGACGTCGTGCTTCCAACATGGTCAGTGATTGATCTCATAGCTCGACCAGTGATGCGAAGCTGCCACGCCTTGAAAAATGCCTGAACTACCAAGATGATGAGCAAGACGATACCTAAAGCCAGGTGTGCCGTGGGGTGAAGTTCGTGATATCCAAATGGTTTCCTGAGAGAGATATCTTCAATATTTGCGAGGTGGGCTGGCGAGAAAAATAAACTCACCAGCTGAGGAAACTGAGAACGGCCGAAGCAAAGATAAGTGAACCAAAGCCACCAAAGACACAGGTGAAAGCTTTGGAAATGAGTGATGACCGTTTAGGTTGGAAGGAGTTGCGGCCTTTTAGTAGGCGGCTATTGACCTCATCTTGTGTCAGACCGAGGGGCCGGCTTTCCAAGCGTTGGAAAAGTTCGTCTGCTGACATCATGTGCCAATCACGCTTTGTGATGACTATGAACCCCCCGTACAAAGCGTATCAGTAAACAAATAAAAAACACAAGGAGAAAAGTGACCCATACCTTGAAACTTAGATAGTGAAGCTTCTGGTCTTTTGAGATACTTTCGTGGATCCATTGTGCGATACTGTTTTCCTCGTTTAGCTGACTCAGCATGGTACTTGATGCTATAATGAGGTGAGTGATAAACATGAATGATGTGGATCTCGAGTGTGAAACTGCACGAGGTCAATAGAAGGGGGACTGAGACTTTACCTGGCAAATATATATTGGTCTGCATACTGCTGGTCGAGATATAGCGAAGACACTTTCTCGACATCAACATGTTCGTTTACGCCCACAACCTGGGGGCCATCATCCGGAAACGAAGCTGACCAATGAGGTTCCGAAGCCCCGGAGACCTGCTTCCGGGTGAACCATGTGGTAAACTTAGACATAGAACAGATTGAAAAGGTAAATAAATAGGTAGAACCGAAGGTACAGACGACGAAATGAAGGAAAGTGCAGTGTGAATGTCTCTGACACTCAATGAAAGTAAGATAAGTTACGGGGGACAAAACAAAACTGGAAAGCGATGGCACAAGATACTAAGTCTTGAAATGTATGATTGAACGAACATTCCGACCAGCTTCGAGTGCAATATTGAGTCACTGCAGGCTAACCGAATAATGCCACGGTTATTAGGTATCCAGATTCGTGACCGTATCTGACGTTTAACGCATCGGTTCATGCTGGGCAACATATGAACCATATCTACTCACCACGATGTTGGACTTTTCTGGTTGTAGCTGCTCTGGATGACAAATGAAAAGCACCGAGATTCGCGACCGGGTTCCTGAGTTGACAATCACGTCTTGAAGCCCCCGCTTGGCCTTTGCAACACCACCGACAGTTTGCAAGCTATCGTGTCTAACTCAACACAAAAAACTCTGGTAAGTTTCCTGTCCAGACACCCGAGCTTGCAACGGAAAATTCTGGAAATGTGTCTGACTGTGGGAGTCAGTTGCATGATCAGCTATTGTTTTCAAATTGGAATGCTACCACTCCAGTATGTACTAGCTACCGCCAAATGGTTCAGCTATGTTGATAGAAATGCCAGTTTTTTTTACCAAAGCTAGAGATGCAAGCACCGGGATTGTAAGAGATTTGAATCGGTCAAAATCCCCAAACGTCCCTGAACTTAACTCTAGTCCCTCCCGGACGACCCAGTCAAGTTGGCAAACGACCTTTCCATAGCTATCTTCACGGAGCGATTTCCCTCCAATTAAAATTAGTTGAATGACCCCGGCCCGAGAACACAAGCAAACATTTTGTTCCAGTGAGTGGACTCAAGTTTGTAATGACTGGGGGACAATGAGCCGAGCCATCAAGTGTGCCGCAGTTTGATGGACTGTACATACTTGAGTTTGCCAGGGAACCAATAATCATTTTTGTCCGTCACTGGCAAGCTATCTGGATTTTTTGAACGCATCTGCACATGGTACCTTGGAATATCTTTTTCCAAAATCATATGTACTTACTCCTTCCAAAAATAGGGTGCTCAAAGACACAAAAACCTTGACAGAAGTTTTATAGACTTGATGTGATTACAATTAGCCAATCAGAACAACATATATCTCATCAAAGTCATATTTCATCGGTCAAAGGATATACAGCGCGATAGTAGAAAAATATTTTTCATTGGAAAGGCTGAAAGACGGCCAAAAAAAATTAAATCGTCTTCACATGAAAAGTGAATCTATGCATTTTTTTATTGAGATTATCATCAGCATGCTAAAATTAAAAAAGAAAGCTCTAATAATTCAAGAAACCCAAAACAAAAAGAAAACAGAAGAAAATCTAATTATTAATGATGGTTACAACAAAAGAAAATCAATACAATTTTTAAACAATTAGAACAACGAAGGAAACGAAAATCCCAATAAATTATTAATTTCTTTTCATTCTCTTTTCATCTTGTTGGTGGTTTCAATTTGATTCAATTCAAATTCGAATTCAAACTCAAACATTTCTTTGACCTTCTTCTTCTTCTTCTTCATTTTCATCTCCAATCTCTTCTCGATTTTCATCTTGATATTCATCTTGATTGTTATAATCAACTGGAAGTAAAACCGCACGATCTATTGCGATGGGCAAACCCCGGTGCCTACCTCGGATCATCACCACTAGAACGCAAACCCAGCACGAAAAAAAATCAATAAAGTTGTTGTGGTAGCAGTATGTATTATTTTAGACGAAGACTTACAGATCACAACCAATTTGCTTAATCTAGAAAATTGCCCACATAGAGAAGTAGATGAAAAAGGAACCCCAAGACTCAAGCCGATAGTCCCATACCTAATTCAAAATAGAAAATTTGTGATCAAAACTAGGGATCAAGGAAGGGACTGTGATTGAAAGAGAGAAAAAGTATAAAGTGGACGAACGCGCTAACGAGCTCGAATAAGATACTAAAAACGTTAAACCAAGGATTTCGATCACCAATAATCTGATGACGTTCAACAATACATATAATCCAAAGAGCTAAAAACAACCACCTAAAAATTTTATCCGAAGAAATAAATCAAAATCAGAATAGGAAAAGAAAAACAGGAGAAAAAAGAAAACAAACCAAATATCAAAAGCTAATTGTTGACGAGCATGAAAAGATAAATAACTTCTGGATCCTTCCCACCAATTACGATGTTGAGATTGAATAGTTTCATTTGAACCCCTTCTTTCTCCAACAGCACCACCCCCAGGTTGTTCAAAAATTCCTAAAGATCTTTCTTCATATACATTGGTAGATCTGATTGACATTGCGATCGGGTAGACCGCGATATACATCTGTAAGAAGTGAGAAAGATGAACATTTGAATTCATTGCGGTTGTATGAAAAAAACAAGATGTAACTTACCATGATGATGTATAGAACTTGTACAGCTGGGGCTAGGGCTGCGATCGATACCACTGAGAACCCAGCCGCGCGAACTGATAGAGATTGTAATAAGCCAGCGAGAAGCCTCTAAAGCAGAAGAAGAAAAATCAAAAATCAAATCAATCCAGTCTAAAGAAATGGAGAAAAGCGATTGACTAACGGTTCCGGGTGGGATTTTCTCAATTTCAGGGTTTCCGATATTGAGCACTAAGAAAGCTACCCAACTAATGATATTAAGTACAACAATTGAACCTAACAGATACCAATTCTGACGAGCCGGAAACAAATAAACAAAGCATCTTCTTGGATGATCTAATAAGAACCCTAAAACTTCTTTTGTACAGCTACCTGCGGAATTACTTGGACGACTAGGAGCAATCTTAGATAAGAACCAGATACTAAATCTCAGAAAGATTGGAAAAGCTGTGTTCCCAGCTAGGATTAAGAATGAACAGACGAAGATTAAAAGGTATGCATCTTGAAAAACTGTAAAACCTGCATCAATCAGACTTTTGAATAGCATCATATCATCAGACCTATTGTCCCATTGAACTAAAATGTGCAATCCGAGAACATACCTCATTCCCCCATTGGTAAAACTAGAACACGTGATCCAGATCGCGTACCAAGCAATGGAAGTCCCATCAGGCGCTTCAAAGATTGGTTTATAACGATCATTGGTTTCAAGCCAAGGTAAGATAATAATAATAGCACCAAATTGAACCAAAATCCAATAACCAATCAAGATTTTGAGTAAGATTGATAATGCTCTATATTCCACACCTCCTAATTCTTCTTCTTGTGCTGACGTAAGAGTCAAAAAATTCGAATTTCGACCCACAATTGCCTAAAGATGGTTTCAACAACAGAAAGGAGAACTTGAGCGACGAAATGGAAATGGTTAGAAATGAGAGAAATATACAAACGTTGAAATTGATATAAGAGACCACTTTGACTTTCTTTATAGAATCAAATACATCACTCAACCACCAATGATTCTTTTCATCTTGTACACCGGGATGATTGATAGCTAAACTAGTAGTTCTGACAAATTGTAATTTGTTTGAGTTATTTTCCGATGATTTCTGACGTAAACATTTACGAATCCATGAAAATAATCTAGAAATCAAAATTTGAAATGGATTTGGAAATCCACCAAAATCTTGTTGTGATGCTAAACTTGGTTTTCTTCTGATAGGTGTGGTAGGCACATTTCCAGAAAAAGCGTTACTGGCATATGATGGTGTTCGTCCATGATGTGCACCAGTCGAGACTGTTTTTGTGTAACGATTGTGAAGGGAGTCTCGTTCAATTTCTTTCTCGAAACTTTGTTTCCCCAGATATTACGCGAGGAAGGTATGACTCAACTCGATCCGAGTCGCGGACGAGGTCGACGGTATCGTGGGCCGTCATTTGCTAATGACCCAGCGCGGACCGCGCCCTCTTGTTGATGAAGATGTTGCTCTTCATCGATAAGAAACTCAACCTGCACTGGCATCGCAGTTGCTTCCAGTATTGGGGATTGTGCTACAGCTGGGAATCTCCATTGGGGGTTACGCAAGACCGATTTGGGCTCGTCTAAAATATAATGTTCGATTTGAATGAACACAGGTGATGAGAGCAACTATTCAAAGGAACGAGAAATAAAAAATTGATTCAGTAAGCAACTCACCACCTAATGTAACCGAACGCGGAAATGCTGATAATTTCTTGGGTGTGGAATGTAGCCGACCACGAGCAGGTGAAAACGAAACCTGCCGTAGTACAGTATCACTATTCCTACGAAGCGGGATTCGAGCGATGGATGTCGTGTTAGGTTCAAGATCACTGATCACAGGAGCAACCGGTTTAGGAAGAAGAACATTGAGGTTTGATGGCGATTGTTCAGGTTCAATATGCTTTGATTCAAAGAATTCTTGAGGAGTGCCGTGGATATCGGTATTGAGGGTCCGTGGAGAGACAGCTTCTTTGGGTCGAGGCGGGCAGATGTTGCCGAGTGGGTGAGCATCGACAGGAGAACTGATGAATGGTCTCGAGGGTTGTCGAGTAGAGAGGATATGTCGAAATCTAAGTTTAAAGTATCGTAAGCGAATGAAGATCATCATGATTGAGACGGAGGTAGTAGAGCCGATGGTCATGAGGATATAAAGAATGACTTGTTGAAATCGATTTATCGAGGCTAAAGGGATGGTATTGAGCCCAGTCATTCTACATGAATCCGTAGAGGATGATTAAAGTTTAGTCAGTGGATTTGGCTGTATACTAAAGAAGAGCTTTCAGTGGAAAGACTAACGTCATGGCGCTATAAGACATGAAAACACAATCGATAAATCGAGCCGGTTGCAGTGTTGAAGAGTCAGGTGGATTAAGTCTGTTGGCCAAGAGGATGATGATACCGAAGAGCAATGGCAAGAAGATGAATGCCAACAGATGAGCGCGATAAAAGTTGAGGTGAGGTTCGATAGCATATTGTAAGCGGTCAAAGAGTCTACGAATAAAGTTTTGATCCGATTTGAATGAGGTAGTTCTGTTAATGCTGAGCCTATGATGAGAGCGATGTCCTGAAATTGATTGTCGGTTGTTGTTGTTGTTGTTGTTGTTGTTGTTGTTATTGTTGTTGTGATTGTTGAAGGTAAAGTTATTGAAGTTGTTGAGGCAAGGTGGTGGTGATGAAGTGTTTCGGTTGACCATTCTTCGATTTGAACTGACAATGGTTTTGCAACACAGTTTGAACCCAATCAAGTCAAATTAAATTCTGAAGCTCCACTGTGAAGTCAAACAACTTTGTTCTTCTCAACTTGAGTGGGGTTCTACCTTTCAGGTTTCTTTTCTTTGACCCTCCTCGTTCCTCGACTAGGTTTCTATGACATCTGACCTCGCTTTGAACCAACTCACAGGTTCTCCTACCCAGTGCAACCTTTTCAGTCAAACCAATCGAGATTCATGGTTTCACGACTCGTGTCGGCGACTGTCCTTGCGCATGAGGCATCAAAAGATGCGAGCTGGATGGGAAGAGGATCCTGAATCCTGATGTTTGCTTTCCAAGGGTAACTTTCCAAGGGAAAAGCATTGAGGACTTCATAGTAAAGCACCCACCACATCGCCAGAAGACAAATTTGACCAGATCCCAATTTGACCACACCATAGTCACAGGATGGATTGAGGCGGCGAGGCCCACAACAAACAAGAATAACAGCTTTCACAACAATATCCAGCATGAAACCCTTGTGAACAATGCCACCTCATTGTCCTGTTGAAGCCTTGGAGGATCAGTATCTACCCTGGCTGCAATATTGGCAAAAACAAACTACCATCAACCTACTTTGCTCCTATATACTCTGCATCATTATGTTGCACAAATTAATTATCTTGGCCTTCCTCCGTAGACCTTTGAGTTCTTAGGTCAAGCTAACATCTTTCAGGAAAATATATTTATTTCTCACCTCAAGTGCTTGTATCCATTTGTGTTCCAGAAAGACTCGGACTGTAGCTATTGATCACTTGCTTGACCAACTCTTCATCTCAAAAGTTAAAGAGTCATAAATAACAATTCAATCCAAAAAATCCTCAAGAATATTGGGATTGCTAGGGCAAATTTTCTCAAGCAAATCCTCATCAGAATGTGCATCTTGTAGATGCTCAGATCTTCAAATGTGGAGGAGAAATACTTGACCAAACAGCCATTTTGAGTGTGTGACTCTGAGGATGTAGCAGGCTGCAGACTTTCCATTACCTCACTATCCTAGTCATAGCATAACTGCAAGTAATATCTAAATTGTGATTAGCTAAATGAAATTTTTGAAACTATGTACACACTTCATCAATAAGTTCAATATTTGAACAAAATGTTGTCTTCTGCATTAGATAGTGGTTCTGATCTTGAAATCTGATTGAATAGTACTTTACATTTTGGATGAGGCATACATGGTGCAGGTTTAGACCACCATATTGGATCATTGTATTTGAGCAACTTTTCAAGCCATACCTGATTATGTTCAAAAATCCATTGAAGAAGTAGACGAGTACAAAAGTACTTCTGAGTACGACACAAAAAATCACTCCTCTGCAGCCTATAAACTACAGTTTGATAGAAGGATTCAATTGAGTCATCATGCTGAACATTGTCATGATCTGATTTGACATTATTGAACATCATATAATCAAGTGGGAGACTGTCCCACAGGTTTGTGATCCATTGATATCCCCTCTCAAGAGTGTCTTCCAGTTCATCCTGACCAAAGTGTTTTTCATAGGTATATTTAGCCTTTGCTTGTAGTAAAAAGAACTGGTATGTGATTAACTCAAGTCTAGCTTTGACAGATGACTGGATTTTGGATGACATCTTATCAGTCTTCTCTTTGAAGCTTCCATCAAAAAACAATTTCAGTTTTTCCATGAAGGGGGCAATTGCTGGAATCATTTTTAAATCTGCCAAACGTTTTCTTGGAACTCCTTGGGGATCTGCGCAAAGAAAGGGTAATCCCTCCTTGAAATAAATTGCCCTATGACCACCCTTATCTTTTGCATCTTCTTGATTTAGTCTGCTACCAAGTATTAAGTTAGGATTATTCTCCAGTTCCATATTGTGCCAATTTTGAAACAGAGCTGCAGGATTAGTTCTAGTTTGATCAGAGGCAGCATGTTCAGGAAAGGTCTGCAGAGATGAAAGTTTCAAAACCCCCTGGACTTCCTTGAAAACTGGTGGGACTGCTGTTTCCAGGGACTGACCACTTTGATGTGGATTTGAAAGTAATTCTGAAGTCCCACTGTTCATATTGTTTTCCAACACATTCCTCCCCCCTTCCTGTGTCTGAATACTCTCCAGGATAGACTGTGATTCCATATGGCTTTGGCTTGTCACCCATGGAGGGAAAGTTGAATGTGTTTGACATTGAATATGAAGCGGATTGTTTAAGAATGTATCTGTATCATATGTCTTCACCTGTGAGTATCCCAGATCATTGCCAACAATATTCAGGAAATTTTGGTCAAAACCTGATAAATGGTCTTGGTGTATGGGCTCAGTTGGAGGATGTTCAAGTGAAAATGGAATATCCGCTGAGTGATGGAAATTCCACTTTTCAACCTCATTGAAGTTGATTGGTGGGGAATAATAATCCCAATCATTCCTCTGTCCTTCATCCAGTCCACTGTTCAATACATTTTCATGCATGAGTATTGATGGTGTATGTCCAAAATCTAAACCTTTGTTTTCCTCAAATTTGATCTTTGAATCCATATATCGCCTTCCCCACATACTCAAATCTTCTTGATTCCTTTCCAATGATGTGCTGCTTTCAAATAGCTGTTGTGGGTAAGCCTGTACCATGGTACTCATGTGGTCAACCTGTGGATGTATTGCATAACCTGGAAATTGCTGTGAGTTAAAGCTTCCAATGTTTGACATGGGGAGTTCATTGGATGTGTCTGGGATCATAGAATGTGATCTGTTTTTGCTGTCAAAAATTTTGTATGATGGGTCCTTCTGTAAAGATATGTACTCTGAAAATGCAACCCAGTCATTTAGATTATCATGTAGCCACCAGGGACTGGGGCTGATCTCTGGTACTTCCTGTGTCATCCAAATATCATTGTTGAAACTGCCTTCAAATCCACGATAGTCCAGATACTGAGGTAATTCTTCAATATAGTTATTGTTCATTGCTGTCACACAAGGGAGTTCAATATTTCAAAGCATACATCATTAGATAGTGTCAAAAACTCACTTTGTTCTTTGCTTGAATACATAGGAAATTCTAGCTGTGTATTGGGAAGATGGTTTACAAAATTATGTGTTGATGAAAAGCTATGAAGAACTGTGTTATAGTTTGGATTTCCTGGTGTTGTGTCAAATCTTTCTTGTGGAATGAATTGAGATGTCCTAGGTAGAGAAAGTTGAATGTCATCCATATTTCTATTGTTTTGGATTAAACCTCTGTCCAGAACATTTTCAACAAAGTGAGCATGGGAAAATTCAAATTCCCTGGTCAAGAGTAGTACATAAACCATTATCAAGTTCCTATTCTTGAAAACATCTGTGTATGCAATTTCAAAAAATTTGAGGACTGAATTGATCATTGTTTTTGAATATCAATTTGAGATGCTAAGAAATGGATTAACTGGATAAACTAGCAACAAAAACTACCTTTCAACCCAAACCAATGGATATAAAAGCTGGAATCTGGTTAAATGAAACTCCATTATGATATCTGACCTCCAGACATGTCATGTAAACTCTGGGCCCCTTGAAGCATGAAATGTGACAGTATACTTGCATGAGACAAGTTTTGAACAAGTTGGAAATATTCTACTCCCTCTGAACACTTTTGTCCAAGATGGTGTATTGTTTCAAAAGTTCTTCAGAATCAATATTGCACAGTTCTTTTGTGGCTGAAATGCTAATTAGATATCCAATTACCAGGTGAGGGAATCATTGTAAACATCATTCAACTTCCCCAAGTGGGGAGGGGAAAGGATTAGGAGTATGGTTTGTCATAAAAGGATCCATCAATGCACACCTGAGCAATCACACCCACAGTGACACTACCATTTTTGCAACTTGAAATTAACCCCAATAATAATATTGTCAGTTACCATGGCCCATTGATATCATAGCACAGGAAACAGTCACAGAGTTATGGTAATAGGCCATTGCTTGGAGAACATAGACCTTGTCCCACTATCAAATATTATGGGAATCATCTACCAACCTTGGAGAAAAAGAAATCTTGAACAAATCTTTTTGCACCATTGCCAGACTCATGTTTATGAAATGTAACAAGTTACCAATGGAATGTAAAATCCCAGAAGTATTCTCAATCTTCCAACTGACAGTAGTACACATCCAATGTGCAAGTGCAATGCAACAGCACTACAAAACAAGCACTTTTTATTGCCTTGCCGGTAACAAGATTCAAATGATGTGTTGAATTGCAGCCCCAATGAGTCTCAAGGGCCTTCCCAACATACTGCAGTCAATCACAACAAAACATAACAAAGCAAAATGGCTCAGCAACAATTTCTTTTGGAAATAATGTGTGCCTTTCCTATGGGGAAAAGCATACCCCATTGCAACTGTGGCCCCCTGCAACAAAATCACAATGCAATGCAATACAGCCAATCCCAACTTAACCAAGTACCTCTTGTTAGAAACTTTTTCCCTGTGAGCTTGGGTGTCTGGAGAGGTACTTACAACTTATCTGCCGGTTTTGGTCAGCCAGCAGGGAATTTAAAGTTTGGCTCAAAAGTTTTTTGAAACCTGAAACTTCCCACTTCCTCTCAATCAACCCCCTTGCCTATTCCTCCTCCATTGGCTCTTAAGCCACTCTGCAAAGCGCCTGCAAAATGAGGATGGACTTTGTTAAGCTAGGTGCCCATCTGAACTGGAGCTACCTGTCTTCATCCCCTTTAAGTATGTCTATTGAGATCCCTTGTATCTTGCTTGGAGCTCTCTGAAGATAGAAAAGAAGCCTTTGAAAGTTGAGATTTGGTTGCAGGGAACAAGGGTATTTGCAAACCAAAATTCCAAAAAACACATTCCTTTTTCTCCTGCAAGAGGACTGGGTTTTTGATCACTGAACTTTGGTCAAAGACAAAAATTGTTTGTTTCCTTGTCCTGAAGCTTTTTGTCTCCTCAGAAGTTGTGCATTGTACTGACCACATAAGCTGTGAGACTATAGAGGATCAGGTCCATTTGGATCCCTGCTTGTACATCAATCAGCTGATAAGCTACAAGCCCTTCTCCATGGCACCAAGCATGCAAAGGACAAAAAAGCCTGGTGAGGATTTGGGACTTGTGTCAAGTTGCAGCCAATCCAAGAAAGACGGATCACTTTTTTTTGAGAAAATCATTGCCACAGTGGTCAGAACAAATTTATCCCTTGTTCTGCTGAATTACACATTGAAGTTGATCACTGGGTCTGCTTTCATATCTTTGCTTCTATCTGGCCTTACAACCATGTCATCTAGAACTCTGCTATGTTTGTGGATTTTAAAAAATCAAGACATATTCTTTGAATTACTGTCACTATTATGAAGACTGGGTTGATATAACATTTAGCGGCGTCAATGATCCTCAGGCCTTGAGTTCATAGAAGAAAAGTTCCACTAGACTTTCAAGAGTTGTAACCCAAACACATGATAAATACCAAGGTTTATTTTTGAATACGCAACATGAAACTCTGGCTAACCTCCCAGCATACTTGAGTTGAATATGCTTCACGGATGCGGCCGCGCAGAGAGGGCTTTGTTAAGCTAAGAGCCAGTTGCATGAAAGTTTAAAAAGTGTTTTCATGAAGATGAGAATGAGAAAGTGTATTTGAAATTGGTGGTTTGTTTCAAGTTTTGTGCAGTTTATGATTTTGAGGTTTTGACTTTGAAATTTTGACGAACACAACTTGAGAAAGTTCATTAAGACCGACTTTTCCATCGATGAGATCAAGTTTGATTAGATATCGATTTCTTAAATCAAAGGTAAACTGTCTTCTCTTAATGCTAATGCTCATGGGCAATCAAACTGATCTCTTGATACTTCTTACTTTTAGGTTCCATCAAACCGGTCTATCCCGATTCCTGGACCCTCAACATGTCCTACTACTACTCAGTCAATTAAGACTTTTCTTCGAAGTGCTTCAAACTTGATAACCGATCCATCAATACTTTCGATCGAATATGATCGATCGGTAAACGAATCGGAACTCGACATAGAATCTGCTTCCTCGAGTTCACTTCCAGATCCAGTTCCAGTCGAATCTATCTCGTCACAGCTTCGAAACCTCTTATCACCCTCACCTTCAACATCTCCAGCTAAACGTTCCACACCACCTAGAGAATTAGCCTTCCTCTTGCCATCGGCTCTTTCCCCATTACTTTCAACCTCTACGCGGGATTACCTCCGATACATATCCGAACTTCTTTCCGATCCGATTACTCCTGCCGATCAACTATGGAGTGAATTAAACCGAGTTCATGCTCTTGGTTTATTCTCTCATCTAGCACCTGAAATTTTTCCTCATCTGTTCCATCATTTACCATGTGATCCAGAACAGATACGTTGGAAAAGAGGAGGAGAATTGAATCAACCTAAAAAAATCGAACAAATTCATCTTAGGATTATTTTTTTATTAGATCGACTTGCTGAACGTAAATCAAATTCATTAGAAGGAAGTTTACCTTCCACTTTTAAACTTTCGATTTGTCGTACGGCTATACTTGAACATTATGCTTCACTTGGATTTTATCGTGGTGGTTCATTGGTTTGGGATATATTGAATGATAATGGTTTACCGGCTCCTACGGCTACTGATCAGGTTTTACTATTGTATTGCATTCGTCAAAATATGATTGGGCTTAGTTGGCCAGACGAACGTCCTTCAAAACCATATGGAACAAGTCCATCAACATCTACTAGTCTTCCGCAAGCTGATAGTGGATCACCAAAAGAGATTGAAAGAATGATTGATCGAGCTATCCAAATCGCAACCCAGCTTTTATCTGAACCTACAACACTCGGCACGAAAGCTGAATCCTTGATTATTCGATGGTCAACTGAAATCTTAGCTTGTGCTTCTCAAGTTGATAAATTAGAAGATTGGTTAAGGACTCAACTTGGAATTGAACTTCGATACCCGGATTCAGGCTCACATTGGTTAGATGGATCGATTACTAGTGCAGTAATTCGGATGTGGAGGTCACAAGGTGAATTAGGAAAGATGATTACATTTTATCAAGCTGCTGTTGAACCATCAAAAGAAATGAAAGCCCGACTTGAGAAAAAGAATAACGACTTGAACTTTTTCTCTTCGGTTCCTCACTCTATACCCATTCCTACTACAGGGGAGGAAGTAATTCAGGAAAAGCCAGTTGAAAAGATAGAGTATGTGACCGAGTTACCGATTACAACTAGAACTTATCATGACCTTATTACTGCATGTGTTCAATCGGATCGAATTCATCTCGCTTTACATTATTTAACTCAAGCTATTGAAAGAACTGAAGCATATGTAACACATCTGTCAACTATACCAACCAATACCAAAACGAAACCACCTAAACCCCCTCTACGATTACAACCCGATACTTATCAAATCTTAATCCGACATCTATGTCGAAAAAGGAGAAATACCCAACTCCAAACAGTCCAAGCTCTTAGTCGAAGATTATTAGAAAGTATTGTAAAAGAAATAGAATGGTATCATCTTCATTCAAAACATTTATCAGAAATTAGTTCACAAGGAGATCAATGGGATGGTTTACTTGAGAATATAATACCAAAAAATCAAACTGAAGATCAAATTCAAGAAGGATATAGAGGATTGGAGATCGAAGTGTTTAAACCCAGATTTGAAATTGAAAGAATTTATCAATCAAAGGCTTTGGATTTAACTTCGACAAATTTAAAAGTTTCAAAAGAAAGAATCTCATTCTTAGGAAAAACTTTAAGACATACAATTAAATTAAATGAAAGATTAAATACAATGATCTTGAGAGTAAAAGAAGCAAGACAAATTAGATGGGAATTAAGTCAATTAAATTCAATACAAAAGAAAGTCAAAGAAGTAGAAGAAGAAGGACAAAAAGGAAGGTTTGAAAAGAAATTGAAAAAATGTCAAGATAGGATTGATAGAATGGTTAAGGAAAGGATGAAAGATAGTGAGGTATTTGGGTATGGACAAGAAAGGAATGTGTTTGGTAGAACTAAGAGGAGGATTTGGAGTGCTAAACAAGAGTTTTGATTGGGGAATTTCCTTTTATCTTGTGGTTTTCGAATTTCCTTGTTCTTTTTGTTTATGATTATATCTATCTTCAGGGTGGGGTCACATGCAAGTATTTGACTTTTCATGAGTGATTTCAATTGTGGTGTTCTGTTGTTATTCTATGAGAGATGGGTACATTGGTACTGTGGTTTTCCAAGACAAAAGGATATCACGCCGGGCTGTTTTGGGAAAGTTATCCTTCTACAAGGATAACCTTTCCTTGGCACATACACTGGGTGAAATGAGAAAGAAGATTTTACATCTGAAATTTTTTCTGTTTTCATACATGTCAAGTTTTTCCCTGTCCCTGAGATATTTCATGCTTGTGCTAGGAAATCTCTGATCTATCATCCCTCTATTTTCAGACTTCTCTCACATGTCTCTTATTGAAACCAACAAGGGAATTATATATTCAAATATGGGCAAGTAAAAGACCATTAAGAAGGGAAAAATGATAAGGCAAACTGATAAGAGTACAAAAAGTGTGGGTGAAGATAAAGAAAAGTTTACAAATTAAGCAGATAACAAAAATGATGCAGGGAGGAAGGAGCATCTCAGATGTGACATGATGAGCAAAGACACATAAGTATATTAAGGGGTAGAGAGGATAGATAGAAAGAGATTTTAAAAAAGGAGAGAGCGGCACTAATATTAACACTTAGCCACACATGTTGTTGTTTGACAATGGGTTTGAGGTCTACATCTTCAACAGGATCCAGTTTACCAGCTTTGAGTTTTTTAGCTTCCAGGTGGGGGGAGTAGACACATCATTCAGTCACTCATCTAGAGAACATATGAAGAAAATACAAGACTTACTTGGGGTCTTTGCCACCGCTGGCACAATGGAAGCCGGAAAAGTTACACCACCCTTGGTGGGAGGTGGACCATTACTGAAACTGCTCACTTTAAATCTGATCTTGAGGGGTTTTAGACCACTATCCTTTTGGTCAGATGAGTTGAACAGTGCTTACTTGCTTTCAGATAGACCCGCTTGATCTTCATCTTGCTGTTGATTGAGAATACTCTTGGTTTTGCATTCTTGATCTTCAGTGTGTTCTTAATTGATGTCCTTGCTTTGAGATACTTCCTCTGGAAGTTCAGATCCATCATCTTGGAATGATGCATCTGTTTTGGCCTTGGTGTTTGCTTTGACTATAACATCCAGTTTGGATCTGGTCTGTTTAAGAGCTTTGGGTTGAGCTGCAAGGATGGATGGATGGGGTCAGTCATTTAGAAAAAGATAAGGGTTTTGCAGCACATACATGGTTTGAGTTTGGCTTTGGATTTAACAAACGTTGTGGTGAGCAAGATCTCTACTTAAGCAAAAAATTTAAAAATTGTGTGAAAATTCGTATTTTTGGTCAAAGGCAAAATTATTATTGAAGTTATTAGTCATCAAGGGTATCATAGTTGATTCATAATCCTCATTTCATTATCTTTCAAATCATATATTTACATAAGCAATTGATAAGACCATTTAAGAGTGAAGAAAAATTCAAAAAGATCAATAAAAATAGTATAAGAGTGAAAATCAAATTAAAGGAATTAGTAAGAAGGGATTTGAGGAAGAAGAACATTTAGTTTGGATCTTAAGGAATGGAAACTGTTATGAAAAGAATGAAAGAAGAAGAAGAATATTAAGAAAGTTGAAGGAAAATTCGAAAATATGGGTATGAAAGGCTGGAAAGTGGTTTTTAGGTTATTATTATAAGAGTTATTGGTTCAGGAAGGTTTTATTGTGAAAGGGAAGGACAAAATTAGTCATCAGCAACTTTAATCATGAGGATTGATAAGGGAGGTGTGAAATTATTCAAGAAAAGGGAAATTTCGAAAAAGGGTACTATGGTATTAATTCCTGTGTAGTGATGTCATTGATGGATTGATTGCGCCAAGAGTTTTTCATATTGATTTTAGTGCTGTGTGATTGATTGGAGTGCTGTGGAATGATCTTTTGATAGAAGAAAAATCATTATTAGACGTGAAAATAGTCAAAATTTGTCAAAAATGGAGGTTTTTAGTTAATTACATATGGTAAAGCTTGTCAGAATTGGGTGTGTGATAGTTCATTCGACGCAGAATCAATGGTTTCATAATTTACAATCTTCAAATCATTAGTAACTGAGGAGTAGTGAAAAAGTTATAAGGCAACAAAGAAACTGGAGTGAATTTCGAATTTGGAGGTTACATGTGACATTTACATGACAAAACTTTATTTTCTTAATCTTTACAACTCAATAACTTATTCATCACACATCAGAAATAGGTGATATGGGGGTGATAAATGATCAGAATCACGAGGGCTATCAAATGAGCTATAGTAATCAAAAATTGAACAACTTTACAAAAAATTTGTAATTCCAAAAATGGATTTCAGCTATGAATATTAGGAAAAAAATCACCTGTATTCATCATAAGAAGATCTTTTCATCATTTATTAACATCAATTGATCAAATTCACGCCTTGAATCATTACAAACAATAATAATAATGACATCATATGGTTACATTGGAGGATTTTCTGTTGATTTTGACGGTTTTTGAGGGTTTTTGGAGGTTGTTGACCATTTTTGAAGGTTGTTAGAGGGATATATACTATTGTTAAGGATTTTACGGGCTTTTGTTCCCCTTTTTACTCATCTTATACTTTTTTTAGAGTGTTTTTAATCATCATTAAATTACTTTAGCAGTACTAAGTTCACTAAATTGCCCCTTTACATCAAAGGTGAGATTTCTTTACATGTGATAAGACTATAAGTCTTCATTGGAATAACAATCAAACTGATTGTTGCTTTTTGCTAGTAATTAAAGTTTTGTTTTGTTGTGCTCAGATTGGAATAACACTACAATAGTGTTGAGATTTCTTTATTTCTAAAAATCACGGGAATAATACTTGAATCAAGTATTGAGACAAATTTCTCTGGTGCCTTATCCCAAAGAATTCAGCAAAACCCCGTGTTGATTCTTTCAAAGAGGCAGTCTTAGGCAACTTCTACTAGTTAGTTATATTAGTAGATTATCCCTCTTTAAGCTCTGTAAAGCTCTTGTTGAGCTTTAAGTTCTACAACGTTTTAGCCTTGACTTGTTTAGCTGCCTTGGGTTTAGCTGTTACAGACACATCCATCTGTCAGTCTCATGTAAAAAACAAAGGGTATATCAGCAAGTCCTACTTGGTTTAAGTTTGGCTTTAACAACAGGTTTCTTGAGCTGCTTAGCGGCTTTGGTTTGACCTTGAAGGATAAAGCAAACACATGCATATATCAGTCAAATGAAAAAAACACCAAGGAGTAGAGACTGACTACTTGCCTGATTTCTGCACATCATCAGATTTCAATGTTGCACCATGTTTGTCCTTGTCATGTCTGACACATCACTGTATTCAAATGGCAGCTTGCCTCCAATACACATTTTTTATCCTTTTATAAATATGCTTTTTTCAGCTCTTTAGCTCCACAATCAAGCAGTTAGAATCAGATGACATATGGGTGACAGGACTCTTGAAGCACAAAATTTGCAGGAAGAATGAATCTAGAGAGTGGTTATGGAAAAATTACAAATCTTTGAAAAGGGAATTCTTCTATTGAATGACCTGCATATTATGTTAAAAAAGATGATATATTTTAAATTTGATCCTAAGACAGTGCCTGTGGAGAGGGCCCCTGACATCAAGGGCTCCAGCAAGTACAAAGGCTTGCCTTTGTACTTTTGAAGGCCCTGACGTTGGGGTACCCTTCACGGGCACGGTGTGAACTATGGGCCATAAAATTTGGAATTATTATGTAATTTTATAATTTCTTCTATGCATGTAGATTTCATCTTCTGAAACCAACAATAGAAAATGAGAAGCACAACTTGTAGGTTCAATCAAGTGGGAAAAGAACCAATCAGCCACTTGTAAAACAAGCTCAATTGACCAACAGACACATTATCAATAATGATATTGTTCTCATGGCAAGATCATTTACAAAGGTTGTACTCCAATCAAGGTACTACAATAATATTGAATGGATGGAACTAATATTGTGATCAATTGGATGTGCCTTATACATACTGAAATGCTTGCACTAAGGAAGATAAAAACTTGAAAGACGGACATGCAATTCACTTCTGGCTAGTTTAAACCAGAAGTTATATGTCATGAACATCAATAGAAGTTGAATACTCTTGAATTAACAATTCTCAACAGCTGGGAATAACAATTGGAACTGTAATTGACTACTTGGATTGAACACAAACCCACAGGACCAAAAACTAAAATAGAAATCTTGATGGCTGGAAAAATAATCCTCTGGCTTGCTAGACCTTTTATGGAATATAGATGACATTGGGAAAAAATATTAGCTAGAGTCTTGAAAAATATTTTAGAGATTGTTTGAGGTACTGGCAACTCTACAATACCCACTTTCTTCATGGTGGGTCACATCTGAGCAAGAAATTTTCATCCTCCTGAAGCTATTTTGCTATGTTCAATTCCAGCCAGGCATCTGATACTGGTATTGATTTGTCAATGCAAGAAAGAAATTCCTTAATATAGGTGTGAGAGTCTTTGTATTGTGGAATCTTCTTATCTTCTTTGCTAGATGCTTTGATGAAAAACTTGGGACAATTTGGTCTGAACTTATTTATTCAACTGAGAAGCGCATAAGCACTAAAGTGATGTTGGCTATAATGAATTAAATTAGGATTCACAAGCATAATAGATAAAGCATATTCAACTGTATTGGGAGCATGAGGTCTTGTATCTTCAATGGCTTTGCGTAAATATTTGTGATTGCCTGTCTGAACTGGAACAGTTAACCAAATATCTAATAACCATTGGAACCCTTCTAATAGAGTCAAGTTCATGTTGTGTGGATTGGAATGATAAGCCCAATGGGCCTCTACTAACCCTAACAGGAACTCATGGGTGAGAAGTTCAATTTCCGTGGACAAAAACTCTCCATGGGTCAATGTATGTCTCCTAGGGTTTATCGCTGTTGCAAAGAATTGATTCAGTTTTATCATGGAAAGTATCATGGGTTCCTCAGCTGCTATATCAAATGCTGATCTTTGCTCATTTCTGTAGATACCTGTCAGTTGAAATTTACAGGACTCCTTTCACTGTGAACATTGATCATTCAACTTCCTCAAGTGGGAATGGGAAAATGATTAGGTGTAGAATTTGTCATAAAAGGATTTATCACTGCACACCTGAGCCATGACACCCACACTACATATGTGCAGCAGCCTGAGTGAATAGGTGTATAGTGGGTAGTCCCTAAACGCGTAAAATTGGGTATTTTGAGAAAAGAGTTTATAAAATCCACAAAACTGATCCAATTTTGAAGCCGAGGGCAGATTTGGAATCCTCACATCAATATCAGTCCAAAATTGTATTGAACATATTGTTTTTAACAAGGCTTACAGTAGAGAAAGTTCTTTTCATAAAATGGAGTTTGTAATAAATCAGCTTTTTGGCCGGCCCGACATTACACGCTTTTAGACACTACCCACTATACATACAGGGTTTCTCAGTTATGTCCTTGTCTGGATGAGTGAATCATATGTAATACATGCTGTAAATTTTCTTTAGCTTGACAAAATCATTCTACAAATCATACACTGACTCAAAGGTTTGGTGTAATTTAGTCAACTAAACTTCATGTAAAACCCTTTCTGTTACTGACAAATGGCTACAAGAATGTTGCCTGACTAGCCATGATGATATATGTAGTGGATGTTTGGGACATTTTTGTCAATGGCAAAAAAGTTACATGATGTATCACATGTGATTTATTTATTCAGATGAGCAGAAAGCTGAGCAGACCTGTATGTATATGATAGGCAACTATTAACTAAGCCTGTTGCATATATGTAGTGTATGTGTTATGAATCAGGGGTGCAGTGATGGATCCTTTCATTAAAAACTACACTCTTAATCATTTTTGCCTTCCGACTTGGGAAACTGGATGATGTTTACAGTGTTTTTTGTAGGCATTGAATCATCCTTTTCTTTTATTTTAATGGCTTCAGTTGCGTCATTTTGGATTGAGACACAATCATCTTCAATATTCTTCAACCAATCTGTGTGTTCAGATTCCATCTTTGGGATTGGATTGATCTTCTTTAGAGTTTCTTGATATTTATCTGGTTCACTGAGAATTCAGAGGCCATTGCAATGTCTCATCCTGGCTGCTAAAATCAACACTTCCTGGGGTGTGCCCTGCCCAATCAAATCCACTCCCTGTTTTCAGCAAGCAATCATGTATTTCAAAGGCTGATATTGGGAAATCATCCATTGACAAGGCTCCTGAATATTTATGAACACAGCTTGATTTACCCGTGTTTGAAGACCCTGTGAACCCTTTTTCCATCATGTCCCCATGAGGCAATATATCAGGGGAGCAAGGTAGATGTTGAGTATAATAAGTGTTTGTGGTATGAAATTGAGGTAGAATAGTTTGATGATCTTCTAGTATCTTGTTTGGGTTTGGTATCTCCTGAGTATTGCTTTCATCTAAGGCAGAAATTGCTGTGTGGATCAGACAACGAAATACATTGGTATGGGTGCGGGATTTTTTATATTCTGGAATTCTCTCAAATTGTCTTCCAGAAGCTTCAATAAAACACTCAAACCAATTTGATCTGAATTTCTTCATCCAACTGAGGACTGCATAAGAAATAAATCTACATTGGCTGTTGTTGAATAACTGCTGATTTCCAAGCATAACAGAAATAGCAAATTCAATAGTATCAGGAGAGTAAGCTCCTTTATTCTCAATTACTTTGGGTAAATATCTAAGTTTGAGTGATTCAACTGGAACGGTTCTCCATATATCTAATAACCATCCAAATCCTTCTACTAGTGTTGAATGAATTTCATGTGGGTTTGAATCATAAGTCCAATGGGCCTTTACTAACATCAACAGGAACTCATGGGTCAGAAACTGGATTCTCCTTCCCAAATAACTTCCATCAGCTGATGCCTTTTGCCTATCTCTCTTCTTGCTTTTCAAGAATTGATCAAGTTGTATCATGAATGGATTCAATTGCGACTCGGCTGCTGTATCCATTTTTAATCTTGGCTGATTTCTGTAAATATCTGTGTGTTCAGCTCTAGATTTACGGGACTTCTTTGTTGGAGGCATTGCATCATCATCCTGATTAACTTGAATGCCTTCAGTTACAACATTATGAGTCAAGCCACAATTATCATGAATTTCAAAGTCTGATATTGGAAAATCATCTGTTGACAATTCTCCTGCATAGTTATCAAAGCAGCTTGATTCACCTATGTTTGAAGATCCTGTGAGATCTGTTTCCATTCAATCAAAAGTCCAGGTCAGTAAAAAATGTTTAAAGAAAATATCATCCTTCAATGATTGCAGAATTCCAGAAGCCATACCTTTTCCTATCCCATTTGTTGAAAAAAATCCCTGGACTAATACCAATTTGGTGCATGATAGGATGAAGAATATACCAAAGTGTGTCCAGGTTTCAATATGAGGCATTAGCACTTGAATGAACTCACCACACAAGTTTGTAAAGTAGCGGGGTTAGAATGTGTTTTTTTAGTGGAGATTCAAAGATATCTGGATAATTTTGGACAATTAGGGGACATGTGAGATTCACTCCCTGATATAACCTGTCCAAACTGGCTATGTACTAGGTCTCAGACATGTGTCTCTGATTCACATGAAACCAAGTAGCCAAGACTCCATTTTTGATTTTCATACAAGATTTCTGTGAAACATGTTAGGGATGTTTTTTGAGGAAGCTGCCAGATAGATGTGATATCAGTATTTTACTGAGACTGACGAGAGGATATCTGGGAAGCCACTGCTTACTGGTAGGCCAGAGAATACCATCTACTTCAAGAGGATTTCAACAAAATTTCAAAGTAAGTTCAACAAAGCTTCAAAGAAAATTTATCTGGACATCAGATTCAGAACATATAGTGTGGAATCACAGATTTGCAGCTCCAGGATATATCAAACTATTGAATCCCTCTAAAAAACTTAGATCTTTAAAATGGCATCACAAACATGGTACAGAAAAATCCAATGATAATTCATTTATTCAAAAAACATCACTACAAGCCTGGATTATCCATGCCAACAGAAGCAAAAGCCTTGGAAAATTCCAACAGGACCCTGTCACCAAGATCCAGTGCTAAGACATCACAATTTGATAAGTCTTTGAATACTTTTTGATTTTGAGATGAGCACTAAGTTTCACAGTAGACCTTGTTGATCTATGTAGACAGATGCAAGATTGCCAGCTGAACCTGATTATACTACCAATTCCCCTACACATATTTGTAGAGCTGTAGAGCTTTGATATCAGGGGGTTTCAAGTCAAGAAATTTACAGTATTTTACAGTCTAACAAGTTGTCCGATGTTGCAAAATATACTGTAATTTAAAAAGATCAAGATACCTTTGTCAAATGCTGGTGACCGTATATTTGCAGAAATAAAAACACTGTAAAATAAGTTGTCCGATGTTGCAAAATATACTGTAATTTAAAAAAATCAAGATACCTTTGTCAAATGCTGGTGACCGTATATTTGCAGAAATAAAAACACTGTAAAATTGAAAAAACTTGTCCGTCTTTTAGAAAGTTTCACAAAAATTTTCTGACTTGAAACCCCCTCTTGCAAATCAATTTTCTCCAAAGATATTTGATTGGTAAATTGACAACTTGGAAGAATCCTCCAAGCAAACTTACAAGTCTTATAGTATTTACAAAGGTTAGACCCAAACCTTGTATATATTGTGAAAGCCATAAATTGTCTTGTATCTGTAAGCTAGCCAGAGTCTGAATGTGTACTGAACTCCTCCTGTAAACATCAAATATGGTTGATGGGGCACCTTTTCAATCTATACAGATTTTTTTGGTCAGATTTCCAAGAGTACACCCCTGTTGCCTATACACACCTGTAGCTCTGAAACAACACAATCTCAAATCTCCTTGTTTTCTTTTTGGAATAGCATTACTAAGAAAAGTCCAGAAGCATGTAAGAATTTTTGATATCTCCAGAGGATTTGTTCCCAAAGACTGGGTTTATGATGATACACTCATCCAACAACTCTGTTGGATCTCAATGATAATATGTACACCTCTGTACACTGATCTGAAGCAAAGGCTAAGATATCAAAGATAAAGATAATGTTCATCAGCAACAATTTTAATCATAAGTATTGATTAGTGTTGAGTGAAGTTATATAGGAAAGAGGAAAATTCAAAAGGTGGTAAACAAGGGTATTATGGGGATTAATTCATATGTAGTGGTTTGATTAGTAGAAATTGAGTGTTTCAAATAGTTTGAGTCGTTGATAAGGTGATTTATAAGAAGGATCATGATTGTAATGCTGAGATTGAAGAGCATAGAAGAAGAAAGAGAGTAAAACATGCGTAAACAGGTCATGGGAGTGAAAATCATCTGTAGTCTGTCATCAATTACATACATCAAATCTTGTCTGATCAGGCTGATTTGTAAAGATTCAATTGATGTAGAGTCATCTGTTTGATAATGTACAATATTCAGACCAATAGTATCTGGAGTGTTGTGAAAACTTTATAAAGGATCAAAGTCAAAATTGATGAATTTTGAATATCAAATTTGGCTTACAGCCATTCCAATATTGCTTGTTGCACATTTTGAAAAGAAAATGTTTGTGATCTTGAAATCAAATTTTCAACCGGAAACCAGCAATGTTTGAACGGCTTTACATGTAAATGAAGGAAACCTGTGTGTAGCATGGGTTTTGGCTCACACAACCACGTGTTATATGGATTATCAACATCTAAGAATCCTCAAAACTATAGCGGTACACAAACATACCAACCACTGTCAACATTATACATTATCCCCAAGTGGGAATGGGAAAATGACTATTATTGTAGTTTGTCATAGAAATAACTATCAATGTGCACCTGCACCATAACACTCACACTACATATGCGCAGGAAGCTGAGTAAAGTGTTAGGTATCATGTACATATAGGTCAACCTGAGCCCCGACCCCGGCGCCCCGCGGGGACCCCGACCCCGACCCCGTCCGGTTTAGGGTTCGGGGGGCGATTTTGGACCCTTAATGCGTAGGGTGCCCTATCGGGTAGGGTTAGGGGTCAACCTTGGAATAATAACCCTACCCGCGGGTCCCCGCGGGTAAAATGCCCAATACTGTGTTTTTGCTTTCTAGCGTATGACTCGGCTGTCTGAGGAGTACCACCAGGCATTGCGATAAAAGTTGGAAACAACCAAGTTATTGAGTGACGAGTCTTGACTCTTCAATCAAGGAAAAAGATACATCATACGTTCATCCAAGTTGGTTGAACGTGTCTTTTTCCATCAAAGTCATTCTACTACTTATATCTCACATAGGAAGCAGGACTGACATTGAGGCCCATTTCTCTTCTCACATCGTCATCTTTTGCATTGCTCAATTTGATTCATTTTTACGTAATGTCATTTTTATTATCTGTTCCAATTTCTCTTTGACTGTTGACGGGACCTTTGTCATCAAAAGGATTTTTTTCGGGGCCCCGCGGGCTCCCCAAGGGTTTTTCGGGGCCCCGGCAATTTTTGGGGCCCCGAGGGTAGTAGGGTAGGGTTCCGGGATGCCTGTCAGCCTCTTAGGGTATGAGCGGGTAGGGTTCGGGTAGGGTTTGGGTGCGAATTCGTAGCCTCGGGGCGGGGTCGGGATGACGATTACCCGCGTTTTTAGGCTCGGGGCTCAGGTTGACATATAGGTCTGCTCCGTCACCTGCTCATCTGAATAACTTACTTAGGGCCCATTTGGCTGGTTTTCCAAAAATTTGTTACACAAAAACAATTTTTCAATCTGCCCCTTTTTCAAGGGGTGGATTGAAAAACTCAAAATTTGGCTTTTTCATTTACCAAACAGTTGACCAAATAGGTCAATGAAAGATCAATATGGAGGGGCAAATAAGGGCAAAAACGCTTTTTGGCCTCAAAAACAGCCTCAGGGCTGTTTTTCACAATTGAAGATTTTTTGATCAAAAACGGTCTTTGTTTTCACTGCAGACATTATTCGGGTTCCCCAAGTGGGCAGGGAAAAATGATTGGGAGTATGATTTGTCATAAAATGGTCTATCACTCCACACCTGAGCCATAACACCCACACTACATATGTGTAGCAGGCTCAGTGAATATGTGGTTATCATGTACATACAGTTCTGCTCAGTTATCTGCTCATCAGGACAAGTTATTCATATGTAATACATGCTGTAACTTCTTTCAGATTGAAAAAAGCTTCCAAAAGATTGACTACATACACTGACTCAATGTTTTGGTGTGATCTCATCAACTCAACTGCATGTAACACACTTTCTGTTACTAAGACATAGCTTCAACAATATTGCCTGAGCAGCTACAGAATTATATGTAGTGAATTTTTGGGAAAAAAATTTCAAAGTCGAAAAAGTTACATGTGGTATAACATGTGATTTATTTATTCTGATGGGCAAAAAACTGAGCAGACCTGTATGTACATGATAGACAACTATTGACTTAGCTTGCTGCACATATGTAGTGTGGGTGAAATGGCCCAGGTGTGCAGTATTAGATTCTTTTATGAAAAACTGTACTATTAATCATTTTCCTCTGCCAAATTGGGGAAGTTGAATGATGTTTACAGTGTTTTGATCAAACGAAGTTACCAAATGCCTGTGTTTTTGACGAAAATCAAAAACAGTTTTTGGCTTTGGTGGTACTTTTGACCAAAGACTGTTTTTGGGTTCAAGCCAAACGGGCCCTTGACTTTTTTCAGTTTGACAAAATTCTCCCAAAAATTGACTACAGATACCTCCATAGCCTCAATCAATACTTGGCAAGCCATTCAACAGTAACAGAAAGGGTGTTACATGAGGTTTAGTTGATGGTATTACAGCAAAACTATGAGTCAGTGTATGCAGTCAATTTTTGGAATGCTTCTGTCAAAGTGAAAAAAATTACAGAAAGTATTACATATGATCTACTCATTCAGATGAGCCAAAAGCTGAACAGCTCTGTATGTACACAATAGCTCCTAATTTTCCCATCCTTCTGCACATATGTAGTGTGGGTGCCTTGGCTCAGGTGTGCAGTGATATATCTTTCATGACAAACTACAATCTTAATCATTTTCCCATTTCCACTTGGGGATAGTGTATAATGCTTACAGTGAACCCAACCTCATAAACCCGTCCAAAAAATCCATGGCAACCCAATTTATTTTGAGTTTTCAGCGCTAAAAAATCCAAAAATCAATCAGGTTGCCATGGGTTTTATTAGGTTGGGTTGAGATGTTTGTGTACCACTTATATTTTATCAATCTTTACAACTCAATTACACCTCTATCACAGATCATAAATAGTTCATGTGATGCCATGCATCAATCAGAAACAGGAGATCTGCAAGATATACTTTGATGATCAAAATTTGGAGCACTTTAGAAACAATTTGTAATCTTAAAAATGGTTTTCAACCCAGGTTGCATCAACTTGAATGGGAGTTGGAATGATTTTTGACAAAAAGGAAGAGAAGTAGGTTGTGAGAAGGTTTGGTTACTAATCTGAAATGAAGAAGAAAAAATTCAGAAGAGATGCATCAAAGATACAATCTGTAAAGAAGTGTAGCACATGAGTAAGAATTGATAGAACCTTTTTTTGTACATACAGTTGTGAAGTTGTAAATGTATTTTTGTTCTCTGAGCAATCAATTCTAATGGTTAGTTAATCCAAGTTGTGATCAAGAAGAATCTATCATCCAATCCTATTCTAATCTAGTTCTCTTAAATCTAGGCCATTGCTATTTGCAGCCCACAAAAAATCCATGTAGGCACTGCCCAAATTCTGCCTACATGGGTGTTTCCCACAAAAAAGTGCCTACATTGCCACAAAATTTGATGTAGGAGTTGGAAAATCACACCTACATTGGAAATTTGGAATGTAGACATCATTTTCCAATGCCTACATCAAAAATCCATGGGACTTTGCAATGTAGGCGCTCACAAATGACGCCTAGAATTGAAATTTGAGAATGTAGGCTGCGGCACAATTTTTGAGCGCCTACATGTCTGATTTTAAATGTAGGTGCTATGTTTGAGCGCCTATGTAGTAAATTCAATGTAAGCGCTCAAAAATAGCACCTACATTGCCAAGAAAGTATGTAGGCATAATTTTTGAGTGCCTACATTGCATTTCAAGAATTAGGCACTGAAGAATAAGCCCCTGGTTTGTAGGTGCATGAAAAAAATGCCTACATGCTTTTTAGGGCATGTAGGCATTATTTGCGCCTACATTAATGTTTCTGGTCAAATACACGCCTACTTGCAGTTTGGCATATGTAGGCGCTAAAAATCAAGCGCATACCCCCATTTTGACTCAAAACACTGTTAATTATGTCCTCTGATACCCTCATTTGAGTCAAACCACTTTTTATTCCCAAGTGTCCTCTACATAAGTCAAGATAGTCAAGAAGTTTGACCAAACTTCCACAAACACATATGCAGGTGTCATCCCACTCCTCAATACACATGTAGGCGCTCAAAATTCATGCCTACATTCTTGTCTTTTTAGATGTAGGCGCTTTTTTGAGCACCTACATGCCAGCATTTTAATGTAGGTGCTCAAATATAACACCTACATCCTTGTTTTGAGATGTAGGCGCTCAAAAATGACGCCTACATTATGTAGGTGTAACCAAATGACATCTACGTGGTCATTTCAATGTAGGTGCTTTTTTGTGGGAAACACCCATGTAGGCACTGTTTTGGCAGCGCCTACCTGTCTTTTTGTGGGCTGCAAGTAGCAACGGCCCAAATCTATTGACAATAAATATTTTTTTGCTACCCACCAACCCTCCCAAAGGGTTAGAAGGGTGTATTAGTTCTATATAAGTTGTATCCACCCCCAGGGTTAGGGTAGTCCACTAGTTCCCGTCCCAGGACCTTAGTGTGTTTAATTTTTAACAATCATTTCAAAAATAAAATTAAAAGACCCACATGAGCCAATACTATTCCAGCTTGATTCATCATAAGAATTTTCAGCCCTGAGCCCAATTTGTCAGCTATGAGGAGTGTTTTGCAACCCTCCAATTATCAGCCATTACTAATGTATGTGTATTAGATCAAAAGATTCAAGACAAGAGTAAGATTCTGTGAGATGCCTCTGAGCTTTTTGTGATGAAACAGACAACAGAGCAATTGAGCTTGGACAAAGAAACCAAGGTCAAGAGCCAAAGACCCTGACCTCAAAGAGGGGCCAATATTCCAAGAATGTGACTAGTGGGTTAGAAACACACAACACCTCTTACCTAAAACAGGACCCTTAGTCCCCAAAAAAAGATGAGCACTCGGTACCCAGACCGACGCTGACCCTGGCCATTAAGCTCGGGGCAGCTCAGGTAGACCTAGGTCCGGGTCAGAGCCTTGGACTCGACTCCAATGTATTGTACATTCTCGATTTCGGGATTTTGAAAACTGTAGTTTCAATTGTAGAAATTTCTAGCGCGTGCGTGACCTACAATGTAGTTTTGAGACTACATTTTGTATCGCATTATTCTAATGAAAGCACTCGAAGGCGACAAACTTTGGTTGATGGAAGAAGAAACATGTTCGGTTCATCAAGAAGAAGAGAAAACTCAACAATCAAAGTCGGGAGTGTATAAATAGGAGTTCGTTCCCTGAATACATTGGATTCATCGTAAAGGGGAACAAGTCAAAGAATGATACAACAGCTTATGATAGGAAATGATATAACAAAGGCGATAAAACTTGGGAGGGGTTGTCTAACTTATTGTGGACCATCGACATTTGGATTGGATTTGAAACACCCTCCATTACAATATCACCATCAAGGTCTATATTTCCATCAACATCGGAAGAGACATCTTCATCAAAGCTATCGGATATCAACACCAACTACACCAATACCAAGATGGTTGAAAAGTTTAGAATCAAATCAAAATCGAACAAAAGATGAATTAAATAAATTAGCAACGAATCAAAAAGAAGCAAAATTGAAAGAAAAGTTTAACAAAGACTTAAGGAATGAGATTGTAATTTATGAATCGAAGGTTGATGGTTTAGATTCAAATCGATCACCTAATCGAGTTGGATTCAAACTTGTTAGTTTGATTGTGATCAGGTACGTTCTGCTTTAGCTGTATTTTATTGTCTTTGAACTTATTGATTGCTTCCTTCTCTTTAGTACTTATGTCGCACAACAGATTAGACATAATGGAGCATTTCCAATTTGGTAAAGATTTTTTCTTTTTCATTCAAGAATTTCCCTTTGTTTTTGAAAAGAATAGAATCGCTGATTAGATTGGACAATCGTTTTTTTTCTTTTAGGTTAGACTCTAACAGTCAATGGTCTGAATATCAATTACAGTTATTGGATTCAAAAATTAGATTTTTAATTTCAACTAGCATTCTAAGCTTTACAACTTACAAATCGTTGAGGTATTTTTTAACTCTAAGCCAGTTGAGTGATTTTTGTCAAAAGAAAGTCCAACTTACCTGAAAAACCAAACAAAAGAAATGATGATTGAATTTGATTACTGTTCTTTGAAATTTTGTAGTACGATAAGAAAGATTTCGATTCCAATAACAAGTTCGATAAAATCTTTAAATCAAATCAAATTGACCCCCAAAACACATATAAGAGTTTATCCAATAGGTTCAATAGATTTAATATGGCCATTTAAATTATTTTTTCCTTTTCTTTTAATTTCACCCAACCAATTTTATTCTCTAAACCAATTGATGGACCCAACCCAACCAAAAACTGACCCATCAGTTTCTTTTTCTAATCCACTTTTAGATGAATTGAATTCAATCCTCAGTGGAAGGTCTTTGGTTGGAATCAAACCAATTAAATCTAGTTTACCGTTTTATTTACCTTCGGATGGGAATTGGGGATCTTTAGATCCATTGATTGATGGGAATTCAATTCAATCTTCTTTGTACGCACAAATCTTCCTTCAAAATCTTGCATATTTCTTCTCTGATTTGTTTGGGTTATGCACATCTCTCAATATTTTAGACAAGATGGATTACAATCAATTCGAAGTTTGAATGATTTGAATAGTATATTTCATGTGGATCTACGTTTACCATTTTGGTTTAATATGAAGATTTTGGGATTTAAATTTAGCTTTTATTTAAAGTTTCTTTATTCAAAACTCATTTGACAAAATAATACTAAATGAATCATTTTCTCATCTTTATGTTACTTTTTTTTGGTCATTTGATCAAATGAAATTGGAAACAAAAAAAGTGAACACAATAATAACTCGGGTAAGAAAAAATCTTCTTGAGATTGTTTTTAGCACTTTTGACTGCACAATATCCACCGTTTACAGCCTTTACAAGATACCCAATTTTACGGCCTAGAATGTGGGTGAGCAACCAAAGTAGACGTAATTCTGCTGCTATTTGCCATCCTGTAGAACTTGTTGAGACATCTTGGATTGCATCTTCTTTTCCAAGGAAGCTCTTTGATATGAAGAAGAAAAGTTTCAATTTGGGATCGAGCAGCTTTGTATTCTCGAATTCCCTTCCATTCAATTTTACAGACTTTGATCAAATACTCATACCAATTTGGTCAGAATTTCTTCATCCAACTGGACACTGCATAAGCACCAAATATATTATGGCAGAGATTTAAAAACCACTTCATAAGCCTTTTTATGCTCAATTATTTCATGATATTCATGGAATGCAACTGTTCCAACAGGAATAGTTCTCCAGATATCTAATAACCATTGGTAACCTTTCACTAGTGTTTCATTCAAGTCTTCTTGGTTCCAATCATAAGTTAGCTTGGGCTTTGATAACATTAACAGGAATTTATGAGTCGTGATTTTGAATCTTTTGTCAAGATCTTTTCATTTCTTGGTGTCCATTGTCTCGGTCTCTTCTCAGTTGTAATAAATTCAACAAGTTGTGTCATGAAGGGTTTCGTATTTCATCTAGACTGACCGGTAATTTGAAGGTTATGGTTTTCAAATTCAACTTTGACTCAAAGTTTATGTATTTACAAAGAACTCTTTAATCAAATATGCCAGACACATCATGATTTATGAGACCAATTACCTCTCTCATGGCATTGTTCCTGAGGCTTTGTTTTTTTGCAATAAAACATTCCACAGGTATCAAAAGAAGAGGGAACATGATGCAATGCCATTGCAACTCTGAAAATGGAGGATATTTCTGAGATGATCTCGGTGCTTTTGAATTCACATCAGGGGTTTGATAGTCAGTGTCTTTTGTGTAATCCCATGCTATGGCAGCTTGCTGTTGTTATAAAGTAGGTGCATAAATCTATAGATCTGATGCCCCTTTTAGGTGGTCACAATTTGAAAACAATTGAGCTATAAAAATGAGGATTATTGGAAAACTTGTTGGAATTTTTGAGAAAAAACAGAATACTCAAACTTGAAACCATACAATATGCAATTTTTATGTTCGTTACAACATGTGAATACATAGTCCTATTTTGTTGACTTGGCTGAGAAAGCAAAGTTACCTGGAAATTCTTTTTGATTTTTTGGATTGTATTTTCTCTTCCAAGAAAGAAAGTCTCTTTTGGATACAATCAAGAAATTTATCAACCATTGGCCGTGAAAGTTTGTATTCTGGGATTCTGTTGAATTTATTTCCAGCACCTTTGACAAAACGTTCAAACCATTTTGGTCTGGATTTCTTCATCCAACTGAGCACTGCATACGCACTAAATCGTTGTTGGTTGAAATCAAATATATCATCTTTGAGAAGCCTAAGAGACATAGTATATTCAATAGTATTAGGATAGAAAGCCTTGTTGCATTCTATTACTTGGGGAAAATCCTTAAATTTGACTGTTTCGACTGGAATAGTTCTCCATATATCTATCAACCAATTGTAACCTTCCACTAGAGTTGAATCCACCTCGTCTCGGTTGCAAACATAATTCAACTGGGCCTTTGCTAGCATTAACATGAACTCGTGTGTCAAAAGTTTGAATCTTCTAGTCAAGATTTGCTCATTTCTCGATGTCCATCCCCTAGGTTTCATCTCGGCTTCCAAAAAGTGGTCCAGTTTTATCATGAAGGGTTCCACAGGTTCCTCAGCTTTGGTATCAAATTCTGATCTTATCTGCTTTCGGTAAATGTCTGTGTTGGGTTCTTTACGAGAATTCTTTTTTGTGAGCTTACCATCATTTTCCTCCAGGATACACCCTCCCATTATCACATTGCCACTGGAGACAAACATCTCTTTTGAATTATTCTTAGAATCCAATGGGTAAATCTTATCTAGCCTTGAGGTTGAGGAGGGGTGGGTTGCTGGATTGGAAGCTGTGGGTAGTGAGTGTCTTGTACAGATGCCATTCACCTCTATTGTGTCATAATCTTCATGATGATTACAGCAATGAGGTGGATCTTGCATTGAAGTAGTTACATGTTCTGTGACTGAGCCTTCCCCACTGTGGTAACCTTGCCTTTGTTTTGATATGAAACTGTCTATCAGGTTAAAGTCCATCTCAGTCATCAATTTTTTCTGCATGCTATGTTCTTGATATGTTTCCGGTATGTTTTGGGTAGTCAAACAAAAAGGCAACCTCTTACCATTCCCATTCTTCCATGACTTATCAAAAAATTTGCCACTTTCTTCCATATCAAGTAAGGAAGGCTCAAAACTTTGTGTGAACCAAGCTGATGTACTTCCTTGATTGTTTGAACTATGTAGGTCCAGGCTAGAGTGCTCATAATCATCCCCTTTGGAAGAAGGAGTATTCGATGTGCCAGAGCTGTGGTGGATATTTGGTAAGAATTGCCAGCCCATAACATTGTTGATATGGTCACCCCAAATGTTGGATGGGTTGTCTATCAGCAGGTCTTCCTGGACTAAACCTGGTATTTCATTTTCTGGGTTGGTGATCTGCTCCTTGCCTGAGTTTGAGGCTCCTGGATCTTTAAAGTTTGGTGTTGCTATGAGATGAGATGTCACAGGCAGGCCAAGTGTAGTATGTGCTGGGATTTGGCTTGCAGTATGTTGACCTTGATTTGCGGGAAAAGAACTTGTCACATCTTGTTCTAAAAGAGAGTTGTATGCATTGAGGCAGTTTTTCCTTTCAAACAATCTACTACAGTCAAGCCTTCTTGGGCTCATGACTTCAGGCAGGATACTTGAATAGGATGAATATTGAAGTTCAGTGGGGGGATTGAGTAGGGGTAGCTCAGGAGATAATTTTTCTGGAGCATAAGAGTGTTTTGGGTTATTGATTTCCTTGTTCATATTGCTATTTATTCCCTCCAAGTGTGTCCCTGCTGAATCAAACTCACCACCTTGCTGAAATGCAAAACCTTGAATTTCAAAGTCTGATATTGGGTAATCCTCTATTGACAAGCTTCCTGCACAGCTATCAGAGAACCTCGATTCACCCTTGTTTGGAGATCCTTTGGTACCTTTGGACGTTTCAGCCTCATGAGATATTATTTCATCAGAAAAAGGTATACACCTATTAGAATGAGATGTTGGAGTCAGGAAATGTGGTGAAACGGTTTGAAAACCTTCAAATATGTTGTTTGGGTATCTTCCATACTGGGATTCATCAGTTGTTTTTCCTGCAAGTTTTGAGATATCCTGTTGATTCACTCCTAAAGTGTTTTGTATGCATGCACCATCTTCATTTGATGTCATCATCATGTTGGTTTGCTCACTCTGCCTGTCAGGGTAATCCCAATTGGAAAATCTTGTATCTTTGTTACAATACCTGAAGGTATCTGTGAATATTCCTGTTATTAAAGGAACCAAGTCAATTTGATTTTCCAAGGGAAACCAAGCTTCAGATATCCTTCAGAAACACAAACTTCTTACCTCCCTGTTCACTTATATGCCTTGAATCTTCCAATCCTTGACCAAACAGGTGAGTATGACTATTTTGTGATGGTAAAATTTCAACTTGATGAAAATATTCATGAGGACTTCTATTCAGAAGAGGCCAAAGATCTGATTGAATATCATTGTGGTCTTCTCCTGTTCCAATATGTCTATTTTCAACAGCTTGCCCAAAAATTTCATCACAAGAACCCATATATTGGCTGATCTGATCACCATTCAGTAAATCTTGTCCAAGATCATTGCTTGAAAAAAATCCCATGACCAAAACAAAATTGGTGCATGATAAAATGAAAAGTAAATAAAAGAGGATCCAATTCTTCATGTGAGGCATGAGCAGTTGCAGAAGACCAGGGCCAGGACAGATTGATAAATTTATGGGACTTGTTGTTCAGCCTTGAGAAGATTTGTGGATATTTTAGTGTTTGATGAATTTGCACAATCATAGTTTGAAAATTACCTCCTAATATTCCCATGCCCCACATGTTTATGTACTGAATCTCAGACATGCCTCAAAGACTCCTATGAAACAAAGTCACCAAACCTGATTTTGGAAACACCTAAAACACTTCCCTGGGTGGGTATTGAGGATATTCTGGATAATCACCATCATTCTCAATTCTTGATACATAGCTGTAAGCTGTTCTTGCTAAATATTATCCTTTAGCTCTACATTTAGGGGATACAAAGTTGAAATCCGGCCGAAAATCCGGCCGCGTGGCCAGATTTCCAGATTCCATTTTTTTCTGGCCACGACTTGAAATTTGGCAAAAAGAGAAATCAACAGATCACTGGCCAGTTCTTCACTCACCTCAATTCCATATCCGACTCAACACCTCAATCTCAAGATTTTCGTTCTCATCCAACACCAGGCACCCAGAAATCCTTCCTTACACTCTGAGTCAAATCGATCTTCATTACATTCTCATTCTCATTCAAATCAACCTTATTCTCCTTTATGGAATTCAACTAATCATCGAGATCGAGTGAAGATTACGGATTTTTTGAATAAAGGACAATTAACTTCAATGGTACAACAGATTGGTAACAGATCATTTTTCTTCTCTTGATTAATACTTTAAAAATCATATTCGATCTGATTTAAATCTAATCTACTCTTTTGGTTTTGGTTTTGTTTTCTCTTTAGCTGCTTCATATCAATTAAAAACACTTGAACCTGCGATTTTAGATGTTTTAACTCAAGCTGCAGAACAAAGACTCTTTCAAACCTGTGGATGAATGAAACTGGCAGACAATAGCAGTTGATCTTAGTCCAAAGACATCCTCGATCTAGAAGTTTTGTTAAAGAGTCACTTTTTGGAACTCTGAATTTTGTATTAGATCCTTTGTATAATCTTTTCACACACGAATCAAATCAAACAAGGATACAGATAAGTTTAAGAATAGTCAGACCAGATGGAATCTTTGTGAGAATTGAAGTCAAGAGTTGGTCTTTTTCATCAATCGAAAGATTTGAGATTGATCTATCATAAGGTTCATGTTGTGATTGATTAAATTGTAAGTTTGGTTGACCGAGAAAGCTGCCTTCTTTCAATTCTTGTCAGTTACAGCAATTTGATGGATTTGTAAGGCTTGAATCATGCGTAAGAAAAATCTATCCCGGCGAGATTGACTTGAAACATTGCAAGTGAGTCTAGGTTGTTCTGAACATACGCCTTTCTTGCATGTCGTGCTGTTTGAATGGACCTCTTGAGGGCTATTTTGCGATGGTATCGAGTTGTTGCTATGTGAAGTGGGGGCGAGTCGTCGATATTGGATGTGGGACTGGTGGTGTAGTGGAAAGTTGGCATGGAACTTGAAGTTGGGGGATTCAAAGTTGAGAGAATCCGGACTCATGTCCAGATTCCGAATTACCGCAAAAAATGGAATCTGGAAATCTGGCCACGCGGCCGGATTTTCGGCCGGATTTCAACTTTGTATCCCCTAATTGGATCACAATTATCAAAGGTTTTGGCAAAGATTAACACAAAAATCTGATCTCAAAAGTAGAGAGGTGGTGTCAAAAGTGGAACTTAGGGATTCAATTTGTTTTGCTAATTTCAAAAGTTTTATGCTGACTCAGACTGGTTAAATCTTGAAAAGTACTTTTGTCAAAATGCAGACACATGAAATTTGACATTCAACAAGTGACCCACCCCCACAATTGAGGAATTTTAGTCTGACTTTATGCACTATTAGTACTTCCTGGTGAGTGAGAATATCAATTGATCATTCCCAATCTTTTTTTTTCATTCAGAAGATGGCCTGAAGCTCTTTTCAACCCTCTAGTAAATGAATTGAGAGTGAGGATTGAAATCTGGATCATAGTCTTCTGGGAAAAATAATTTTTGAAACAAACTCTCACATGAATCTTCATTTCCTTTGGTGATACCTCATCCAAATTTATTGTTCAAATTGAGAACATAGGGTTGCTTGATCATCCCCCAGAAGATCTAATTTTTGGAGCAAGGGTTTATAAAGTTTGAGGTTGTGTTTATGAGCCGGTGATTTTCACTTCAAATTGCAAATTCATTCATGATACTTGAGATAAGTCCCTTGATTGTGCCTATGCTCTTGACCAGATCCATGGCTTGATCCAGGAATTAATCCAAGGTTGGTCTCTACTGTTTATGTTTTGACACAGAATTTACTGCTAATTTTCTGATATCCATCATCAATGATCTTCTTAGTTGTAAACAGCAAAAACCAGTGGTTTTTCATTTGGTAAGGAAGATCCTCAGCTTGTGGCTTTCTATTTTTCTTGTGATTGCTAAAAGCTATGTTTGCATTTAATATTTTCAAACAATAAACTTGAATTTGATATCAGGTTGGAAATTTGAATTCAGTTTGATCAAGTTTGTTCTGAAGTCTTTGGATTTACGTCAAAAATTCCTTGGAAAGACTGATACCCTTCCACTGCTTACCAAAACTAAAAACAACATGCCAATCCCTGAAATGCTACAGATCTGTACTGAAAGGGGCGGAACTTGCATGATCCTAAGTATAATTGAATAACCTCAATTGTGGTGGTGCATATCTACTGTTCTAGAAATATTGGAAGACCCTGAAGCTGGGATATGCTTGATATGATGATTGTGTCTGGCTATAGGGATGTCTGATCCCTGACCAGACAAGACAACACAGATATTGGTAAAAGTGGTCTATGAGCAAATGAGATACCAGGAGATGGTTTTGTATGATATAGATTCTTGTCAAAGAAAACATTCTAATATTGGATGACAGAGAAAGAATATCTCTGTAGAAACAGGATTGATAATATAAGAGTAGATGTTACAACTTGTGGTGAGGTTGATGTTTGATGAAAAAGGTTGTGAGTGGAGCAATAATATAATCACTACATATTTACAAAGGGATTTTATTACACATAATCAAATCATAAAAAGAAATGATATTGGTGATTGGTTTGAGCACTGGCAAAGTATCATTGGTTTGCTGATCACTCATTCTTGTGTTTAATGTGGTGAGATTCAATTCTTGGAGTACAACTGTACCAGCAAATGTAACAGGGGACCAACAGAAACAGGGAATGTTTTGATGCAGAAAACATCATGTGAGACTATGAAATTCTTCCAGTTTTCAGGTTTCCTGGGAAGGAATGTAATCAGACCAACCTTGGCATCAGGGGATATGTTTTGGAAATCAGATACTTTGATGTGGGTGGAATTAATGCTCTACCTCAACCCATATGACCAGCTGTGGATGAATCCAAGAAATTCATTTGTCATTAGGATTGTACCAACAATTGAGTGACTATGTGTCTTTCTTTGTTAGTTGATGATATAAATTTTGGCTTCAATTTCCCACAGATGAGTGATTTCCATACAACCAACCTTCATTTATTATTATCATTGATTTTGGAATTCCAAAGTATGAAACATAGTTCACTTTGAACACAATAAGATGATCAAATAGACAAAAAATCACAACTGAAATCAAACCAAGATGAAAAAATTACAAGAAATGAAAAAAGAACAAAATTAGTTTTTATTTGAATTTCAATGGGTTCTGTTCACATCATTATTACTTTGACACATTGTTTGATGTCACTAAAAATTAGTGAGCTTTCAAATTCACCTTGATGATACATCTCTTGTACAAAATTAATCAAGTTGTTCCAAATCAAATCCCCATGTCAGACTCTATTTCCAAAATCCTTTTTTCAATACCTGAAATAAATGTTTGAACTAGAGGTAGGTTTGATCTATATTCTGGAATTTTCCAAAATTCACTTTGAGGTGTAATTTTAAATACATCTAGCCAATTTGGTCTGAATCTCTGCATCCAAGTGAGGATTACATATGCATTTAACTTCTGTTGACTTCTAGAAAATAGATTTGTGCTCATAACTCTAGAGATCAAGGTCTCTTCCATGGTTCCAAGTGCGGTATATCCGTTAATAGGCCTAGTTGATTTGGGTGGATTTGTCATGATAAGGGCATCAATCGGAATGGTCTTCCAAATATTGGTTAGCCATTGGTATCCCTCAACTAGAGTCTGATTTAAATCTTCTCCATTGGTTGCATAGGTCAACTGAGATTTCACTAACAATAGGAGAAATTCATGGGTCATAAACCTTAGTCTTCTCATCAGGTGAGTATTGGATCTAGGATTTCTATGTTCCAGATACATATCTTCTTGCAGGAAATCCTCAAATTGTGTCATAAAGGGGGTGATGTGTTTCTCAATCAAGCTATCAAATGATGTTCTGGGCTGATGTTTGTATATACTTGTGTCTTCACAGGGGTTGACCTCTTCACAGATCTTCCTTGTTTGAACTATGGCCTGATTTTCTGTCTCCTTTCTTCTATTGTTGGGTTGTCTATGTGTTCTTTTTCTTCTAGGTACATCATCCAGAATATCTAGAACCTTGCCTTTTGTTTCCTTATTGTCAGTTGAGATTACAGTATCCTCCAAACCATTCCTGCATCCTAGTGTTGTAAGTCCTTGTTTTGGAAAGGAAGGGCTACTTGGAAGACTGATAATTGACTCTTCTGATGGAAAAATGTCTACATCATTATTGAGGTAACAAGAGTGATCCAAATTTTGGTGCTTTCCAAGCTCCACATCTGAAGCTTCTGAAGTGTGGGGGTTCTTTCTCTTCCTGTTTATGACCACGCTTTTGAGATTGTAGTCCTTTTTTGTGGTTAAATCATTCTCTCTGATTGATTGTTGATCTTCATTCAAAGAATCTTGAGCCCTCAAAAGTAATTTTGACCTTTTACCTTGCTCCTTTTCCCAAACATCCTTATTGGAATCCTGGCTTTCTGGGTGGGTTTCTGGGTGATCAGGACCAGGTGATTGAGTTTCAATGACTTTCAGAATGCTTATTTCATCCCTGTTCCTTACCAAATGATCATTGATTTCCAAAGCTGATATTGGTAGATCTCTAGGCAAAGATCCTTTTATCTGTTCACCAAGAGACTTTGATGTAACAAGGTTTGGAGATGATCCAGGATCTGTTGTCCCTCTGGGTCTATGAATCATGCTATCAGGCGGGCAAGCTCTGGAATTTTCATAAAAAGGTGGCAGTGTTTTGAGTGGTGCTAAAGTTTTCTGAAGATTATTTGATATATCATGTGAATCTGATCTCGTCTTCTCTTCAAATTCTTCATGAGTGGATTCTGGAAGTGGTGAGAAATTCAAATGATTCATTGAATCAAATTCTTTGATAAAATTTGACATCCATACATCATCTTCATTATACATTTTCATTTCATTTCTTTCCATCTTGGATATCCCATGTTCATCTTGAGCAGAAAGGTATTTGTACACTCCCACAGAAGTCTTGGTTAGAAGATCTATGGTTCAATCCATCAAAAAAGCACATTGTAAAAAAACGGGAAAGAAAATCAAAAAGGTGATTTCAAAATGAATCAGCCTTACCTCCTTGTTCATTCAATTGCCCTGAATCTCCCCTACCTCCAATGAAGGGATAATTATTCACAATTTCTGAAGGAAACAAACCATCTAAATCTGAAAAGGTGTTGTAAGGATTTGTAGAAAATAGAGAAGAATGAATCAATTGAACATCATGATCATGTGCTCCTCCTGTTCCAATATTACAATCAGCCACAGCTTGAAATGAAACTGGTTTTTTTGTGAACATCCAAAGATTCATGAGCATGCTCACCATCTAATAAACCTCTTTGAAGATTATCTCTTGACAGAGATCCTAGGAGACAAGAAAATTGAAGGCATGATAGAATGAAGAAAACACAAAATATGTTCTGCATCTTTTTTTGTGGAGTAGGAGCACTCAACAAATTTACCAAAACTTGAAGGAAAGATGAGTTAAGTAATTGGGGACCTATGGATTGAATTTATGTTTTGAGTGATTGGTATGATGGTGGAGTAGCTGAGGTAGATAGAATATGTATGTAACATCAAATTATCTGGTGATATCTTCTCCAGGTTGGATGGAATTGATCATATGTTCAGGAATTGAATTAAAAGCTCAAGCAGATATTGACTACCTCAAATACACACTTCAAGTTTTGCTTGTAAATTTATAGATTGCATACAGACCTTGCAGGATCCTATGAAACACACTCCTCAAACATTGATGTTCAAGGCTGATGTTACACTTCCTTAAAACATATATTGATGTGGTTTAAATGTCTTACAGCAAATGAAATGTGACCTAGAATTTTCCATTTTTTACAACATCTTGCCACTGTGACTGTGACCCTTCACAATCTAAGAAATTCACAACTCTCTCACCTGAAGTCTACTTTGAGATGAAGTACAAGCTGAACAAGATTAAGTCACCCCATGTAGTTCAAAAGCCAGCCAAATTTTTTGATGTAGAAGTTTCCCTTTGCTTCTGATCTCATCAAACCAATCTTGTCCTAGATTTATACTACACAAAACTGATTCTGGAACTTTTCCACAAAAGTTTCCAGAACATTTTTTCAGAAAGCCAGAAAGCTCCTGCACCCTGGGCATTCAAACTTGTACTGTTTTTCACAAGTCCAGGAATCCAGAAGTTGAACACACCCAAATATGTGTTCTGAGAAAGTTCCCAAAAATTTGTGAAAAAGTTCCAGAACCATATTTGTGTAGGACAATTGATGAAGCTTTCTTTGGTCCTTGTCAATCTAGTTCATCACCATGTACTCTCATCTAATCCAATTCTCCTTCTCCTCCCAATGTGCAATGAATGAATTAACCTCTCAAACCATTAACCTAAATCATACAAAACTAACCAATAAACCTATCAATGCCTAAGTAGCTCACTACTCAAAAAAAAACCCTAAACCTTTTCTCACTGTGCTTTTAAACAAACCAACCAACCAAAAATTAAAAATGATCCATCTCAAAAAGCAAAAAGGAAAAAAAATGAAATGTGAAATGTGAAATGATCATCTAGGTTTTTTCAAAACAGATCCACTAATCCCTTCATCCCCAACCAAATCCCTTACCCTCTTCACCCCACCACTTCCAAGGGTCAAACCCAGAGCAAGATTAGTCGAAGATTTATGACTACAACTAAGATTATTTGAACTACAACTACAGGATCGAGGATTGAGGAGATTCTTATTCTTATGATTCAGAAGATGATGATGATGATGATTACTACTACTGGCTAATAAAAGTTCAGGTTGGATTCGATCGATTAATGAGCTCGATTTACTTCCAGTCGGGTTTAATTGAATCACTCTATTAAATTTGGTGGGATTTGATCGCGAATTCTTTTGTTTTCTTTTTGGATCTGATTTAGTTAATTCTGAATACCTTCTCATACACTAAAAGCGCCCCCGAGAAAATAATCACAATCAGGTTCTTTCTTGAAATCTCTTTTGTTGTTCAGAATGGAAAGAGATTGACGAATAAATTCCAAAGCAAAACGACTTGACTTACATGATTATCAGTTCTTCTACCATTAAAACTTTTACTAATCTCAGACCAAGTTTTAGATTCCTGATTCCTCAACCTTAAAATCTTTTCATCTTCCTATAAAACCCTCAATCAAATCCTCAATTCTCCCATTCAAGAATCCAATTCCAAAAGAACAAGCAGAAGTAGATCACCAACCTCAGAAGTCCAATTCCCAACCACGATCCTAGGATCCAAAATATTACACCACCTCTCCCGACACTGTGCATCAGTCCTACCTCTAACTCTAGGAGCCACATCTTTCCAAACCATTCCACAAGCTGCAACCGCATTCCTTAAAGCTTCATCTTCATTCGCATCCCATTTACCTTTCTTAATATCAGGTCTTAAAGTCTTACTCCATCGATTAATACATTGATTTGAAGATCTACCACAATGATTTGCCACTATGAAAGATTTTTGTCAATCAGAAGGTCAAGAAGAATGATAATTTTTGGGAAGGGGGGTCGTCAAACTAACCGGCTTGCCAATTTTGTCCGTACATTGAAACTCCTTCTTTTAATAACAAATCATCACTCTCATTCCATTCTTTTCTTTCTTGAGTGACCATTCTATATTGTTTTACACATTCAGCTGCAGTTCTTCTAGTCTAACCAAACAAGAAACAAAACAAGAATTCATCCCCCAAACAATACCCAAACAAAAAGAAAAATCAATCAGATTTTAAATAATGGATGGGTTTGATTAAAAAGAAGTAAAGGAAATATAAACTAAACGCCTAATTGATTTGAAATCGATTTCCAATCTTTTTCATGATTCCTTTTGACGATTTCAAATAATTTATCAATTTCATCAGATTGCCATTTAGTTCGATTTAAATTCGGATTTTGTCTTTGATTCCATTGAATTCTACATTCGATTGGAGATCTATCTGGTAACTTTTTATAAGAAACCAATTCAAAAACCCATCAAAACCTAAAACCTCAAACAAACAAGAAATGATAAAAAAAGATCTTACTGCTTGTGAAATTACAGTCCAATCCACTTGATCTGAATATTTGATTATATCATCAATTGAAGGAATTAATTGAGAAGTTCCAGAAAATCCTCGTTCTTTACTAATTTTAATCCGTTTGACTTGTAATATGATTTCTTCTTCTAATTTTCTTCTTTCTCCAACTTGCCCTACAAAGAAAACAAAAATGATAAACCTTAAGTCTCAGTTAGTTTTAACGGTCATGGTAAATTGTAAGAAAAAACTGAAAAAAAACAACTGAGAGAAATCTAAACTCAAACAAGCTTGTTGATGTAAAATTGAATTGTATCGATCTCTTTTGGTCCCATCTTCATGTACAGGTACATCCTAAAATCAAAAAGAAACAAAGCGCACACATTCCCCCACCAAAAAGAATTCAATAAGTGGAGGATATGATCTTGTGAAAAGAAATGATAGAGGATCAGAATGGAGGAATGGAAATCACTCAAACTTGACCAAATTTATATTTGAACCAAGGTAAGGACACCGTACGAGATCCTTCAGCCACGATGACCATGTTAACTTCAGAACTACTAGTAAGGAAGTTTGATTGAATTGATTGAATTGGCGTTTGAGTTTGAGATGGTGATGGGGCTTGAGATTGAGATTGAGATTGGGGTTGGGATTGGGATTGAGCAGTGAGAGTTTGTTGCTGAATGGTATTAGCATAATGAGTTGCAAGTGACTACATAATTTCGAAAGAATAAAGAAAACAGATTAGAGACTATATTCGTACACTTCAATAAGCTGAATAGCTATTACAACTTTTACAATCAGGTTCGATAAAAAGAAGAACTCGCCTCAAGTTCTTCGCCTCTTTCTAAGGCTAGATTGAGTTGATCTAATAAAGCTCTGATCTGATTTGAATAAGTTTCATTTGATTCTAAAGCTAATTCAGTTTCATTATCAATCATATCTAATGATAAATCTTGAGCCAATAAATGTTGATCGATTGAAGCCAATAACAAATCATCAAATCCATCTGAATGAGTTTGAGGTGGATTTTGATCAAGGATAGAAGGCGTAGAAAGTCCCAATAAGAAGCTATCTAGATCAGAATGATTAGAATGATCTAGAAAGTTTGAAGACTGGATTTGATCTAATGAAGAATGGGTTGGAAGATCGGTTCTTGGTGTGTTTTCTGATGAGGAAGATGATGAGAATGAGTTGGAGAATTGGATTTGATGAACTTTATGAGTCGGATTAGATGAAGTATTAAAAATTGAATCAAATGTAAGAGAAGATGAATGATGTGGATCGAATGAATGATCATGAGTTTGAAGTACTGAAAGAGCTGATAATAAATCTTGAGCATGACGATGTTGATCGATAGAGTGAAACTGATCATGTTGCTGATCATTTGTTGAGGATAATAAAGTATGTGAATCTTGAGGTAAAGAACCTAATAAGAGAGAATGAAAGGCTTGGTCTTCTTCTGTTGAATGAAGTGAGGTTTGATGATCAGTTTCGACGGGTAAAACATTTGAAGCCAATTCAGATAAGATTGAAAGTGAATCCAAGTGAGCTTCATTGGTTTGAGATTCATGTTCAGATTGAGGTTCCGATTGAGATTGATGAAAAGTTAAAGATTGAATGAAAGATTGTAAATTCGATTCGATTTCTCTTTCCAATTCACGATCTCGTTCTAGCTCTTGCTCTTGTTCATCTTGTTGAGCTTTTTGCACATCTGATCGTTCTTGACTCTCTTTCCCTTCTGGTTCTTCTATTTCGTGACTAGGTTCGTTTTCAGTCTCTTGATCATTTTCTGATTTCTGTTGATCTGAGTTTTCGGTTTCCAAGAGGTTTATCTCTGATTCGTTTGATGAAGTGTTTAGAGATTCTAGACCAGGATGGATATTTTGAGGTTCTTGAGATTGATTTTGAATGAGTTGATGGTCATCAGATTGAGTCATGATTGATATTGAGTATGATATTAGTTGATTGATACTACATAGAGTAAGATATCTATGGATTGAATGGAGATGACCATTACCATGATTCTGATTGAGATGGTGATGAGATGACTATTGAACATTCAAGTTCACCATTCAGACCGCATAGATCGATGAAAGTCATCAAACCAAACCCAGTGAATTCAAAGCGTAATCCAAATGTACATACGCGATCCGAGCCGATACCGGTCCGCCGCAGCTGTCACTGACCATCGTGCATGTCGTGCGAAAACACTTTGCCCCACGAGATGTTTTTTCAGCTACTTTCTCATACGACCCCAATGTGTAGTACACCTCTTTTGGTATGATCACAATAGGCTTCCCCCAATAATGGTGCATGGCTCTTGCCATACCAGGCCTTATAAGGAGGCCAAATGATGGACTTTGATCCCATGAATGGACCTTGCTGCCACTCTTTTGTTTAATGATTGCCAGTCCTCGTGAGCAAACACCCAGTTCAAACTAAATGCAATCCAAAATATGACTTCCCAAAAACAATCATTCTTGAAAAACCCAAAGCACCAACTTGCAACTTCAAAGTCAATGGACACAAGTACAACAACAACAAAGTCCAGAGGCCTCACTCATATGTGGCACTCACACTCACAGAGGTGTGTCACTGGAGATTAAACTATGACACATGTGTAAAATTTTTCAGACAATTGCATATCCACAAGAAGAAAAAAGGAAGTCAGTGACCCACAGCAGCTGAATCAATTGTTGTACTTCAAACTGATTTGTATTTTATCTTTTCATTGACTTGCTCAATTTATCTATTTAGTATTTTTCCAGATTACAAGAAGCAATATGCAAGGATGTAAAGTGTCCTTTTGGCATAGTACAATATTAATTTGCAATAGTAGTCAGCCCAGCATATATGTGCTCACCACAAGTGTTGCACATGATCATGAAATTTTGTGTCATCCTTGGCAACATGGTAGTAGGGGACAAGCAGGATGATGGATTGAGGTTGTGAGATGTAATACCTCTGGTGTATATAGCAGAGGTTCTATGTGCTGAACACAACATAGGTCCTTTATATATGGCTATTCAGCACCAAATTGAAGATTCAAATATACATCATCAACTGCAAGATGACCTTCTTGAGCATCTTTGGCAACATTGTGGTGATCTATATCAAGCTGCGGCTGCTCCTGCTTGATCATCATGTGTAAATTTTGTCTTTGTTGAAGTGATTGGGAGTATAATTGGCCATAAGGGATATCTGTACACTTGAGCCATAGCACCCTCACTAAATATGTACAGCAGGATGGGTTGATTGGGAGCTATCATATACATACAGAGCCGCGGAGCTATTAGCTCATCTGAATAAATAAACCATATGTAATACCATCTGTAATTATTTTCAGTTTGACAAAAGCATCACAAAGATCAATTACATGCACTGACCCATAGTTTTAGTGTAATGTTATTAAATAAACTTCATGTAACACCCTCTGTTTCACTGTCAAATGGCTTCCAGAGTATTGCCTGAGTAGCTATGGAGGTAAATGTAGTCAAGTTTTGAGGATTTGTCAAACTGGTTTTGTGATGTATCACATTTGATTTACTTCTTCACATGAGCAGAGAGCTGAGCAGACCTGTGTGTACATGATAGCTAACAATTTACTCAGCTCCAAGCATATGTAATGTGGGTTTTATGGCTCAGGTGTGCAGTGATCAATTCTTTATGACCAATGATGCTTGCAATCATTTTTGCCTGCTCAATTGAAAGGAAGTTGTTTGATGTTTACAGTGCTTGAGTTTTGTTTTTTTCATTTCAATCGTCATCACATATTAGGTGCCTTTCCTATATTATTGTTTTCTATATTTCAATTGTGTGTATTCTGTGACCTTGTGTGTTATTTGCTTTTTTTGTTGTTGGTGGCAAATCATATTATGGGTTTCTTTGGTTCAGTAAAACTTTGATGTGTTTTGGGTTTTATTTGGATCATGTGTATGATATAACTTTTGCTGTTTACTTTGTATGATATGGGTAATCGGACCCTGTTTGCTTTGCATTGTATTTCTTGTTGTCTGCTGTGAATCATATTATAGCTTTTGTTCATTTTAGCTATGTTTTTTTTGGAAAACCTTGGCTGTTTTTCTTCTTGTTGTTCAACATATAGCTTTGTTTTGTTTTGATTTGTAGAACATGTTTATATCAATCAAGCCTTTGGCTAGTTTGTTTTGTTGTTCTCCACTCATTTGCTATTTAGACTGATTTGTCGTTGTTGTTTCAAAACATCTTCAATTCACTCATCTTTGGCTTAGTATTTTTGATGTTCTCATTGCCTTATTATTTTTTGTAAGCTTATATCATGTGGCACAGATTTCAATCTCATAACTCCAAAAATCAAACCAAGGGTCTTTACAATAAATGTTAAGGCTGTGTTCACTTAAACACTTTTCTTGCAAAAAATTGCTTTCTTGAATGTTGAGAAATTGTGTTAGAGTTCTGTGCAAGATATGAATAGAACTTGCACAGATCTTGCACAAAACTTGCAAGTTGGTCTCACACAGTTTTTACACGTTTTGGAACACAATAACTTGGGTTGTCAAAAAAATTAATGTGCAAAATTAGTGCAAAAAATCTTGCACAAATCTTGCACAGATCTTGCAGGTTGGTCTTGCACAGATCTTGCACAGGTTTGAACACCATAATTATTTACAAGCATTCATTAAACCACAGAATGCTACTAAAAAGTCTTTTTTTTCATCACTTTCCAATAATTTCATAACACTACATTTTTCTCCTTCTGTGATATCTATTCTCAACCTTCTCTCATCAATTGCCTCCTTTGTAAAGTTTTCCAGAAATTTCACAAGGTACCTTCCACCATACAGATCCCCTCAAATCTTTTTCAAAGTCCACTCTCATTGTACAAAACCTTTCAAAATTCATCTAACACAACCCTCCTCCAAAACCATCCTCCTCCTCTATTCTTGATCAATCTCCTTCTGCACTCAACTCATATTATCATTCTCTTTTTTATCTTTATCTTAATCTTACCCTTTTTCAACCCAAGTCATCTTTTCTCATCTTTGATATGAGGCAAACAGATTCCTGAGCAAGCTTTACCATTATACAATAACACAGCACTAAGCATAAACAATCTACAAACAAAAATGATCAATGGTTTCTCCATCAAAAAAGTTCTGACACACCATTGATCATTTTTGTTTGTAGATTGTTTACACTTAGGGCTGGCTGGTCTACAGAACCAATCACAAGTGTGAGCAAGAATTACAGTAAGAATAGCTTGGCTACTTACCAATGCTAGGAGATTTAGTACTGGACCAGAATGATCATTGTCTTGAGCCACAACTTGTGTGTCTGATCACTGTGGGAATGACCTGATCTAGAGCCATTGAATACCAAGTCTAGACGGCTGATAAACCATGAACGGGTAGGTACTGAACCGTTCATTCAACTGTGTCCGGAATTTTTCGATCCCTCAAAAAAGTGTAAGTTAAGAAGGTGATTACTGGGCAGTATTGGTTGTTGTAACGGTTGGCGATTGCAACTTCACTACCCAGGAACTTAGGATCCCTTTTGTGGTATCGGAGGACGTAGGTGGCCATCGTACCACAGTTGGAAATCAGAAGTGAAGATCTTTGTTGTTGGTTTCTTCTCTCAGGGACAGAAAACGTGCCAAACCGATTCCCCGTCGGTAAGGGTTGATCTATGCTTGAGGTTCGACTGGTAGCTGGGCAGTTCTTGGGGGGGGGATTGAGTCGTTTCTTTGGCTCGTTCGATTTTTAAGCTTCGGATATCCTCTCTGACCTCTTTGATAGTTTCGATGAACATCGACATCACACTTTGAAGTAGTGCGTCGTTAGCGGAAGTTCAAGGGAAGTTAAGACGTCTTGCATCATGTCCATATAATTTAGACCTCGGTTTGGGTTCTGGTTTTTCGCGGGGTGATTTGTGTCGTCCTCTTGTCTTTCCGGAGAGCGTTTGGACGGCATATGGGGGTGATGAAATCGTTTCTGAGTTGATGATCAGCTGATATATGAAATATTTTGACTCTTGAGGGAGTGTGAAGTGAGAGTTGTGCGTGACACTTCACGGATTTCACGGTATGACCCGACCGTGCCTCGGCAACTGGCTCCCTCACGAAGAATGACCATCAAACAACTTTTGTCTTGCATCCCTCGCCTTCATCCTCGTCTTCGTCTTCGTTCTTCCCTCATCGCAGTACCCTTGCCAGTGCCTTTCGAAAGTCGTCCCAACCTTCAACCAATCCCGCCCATCTGGCCCATCTCAACCTACCCTCACCTAAGACACATCACAAACCAACCCAACATTCGATGTCCAGAATGTGGAGCTAATTCAGAACCATCCTCAACCGATCAATCATCATCAACTTCCAAATCCATCTGTCACCGCTGTGAAAGCTTTCTACCACTCACAGTTGCAGGCTCTCATTTTTCCCTGTTCGGTCTACCCAAAACTTACCGACTCGATCGACCTGCACTACGTCTTAAATACCATCAATGGCAACAATTAGTTCATCCTGATCTCATTGCCGGTCGTCAAAACACCACTCCTCCTCCACTCGATCGATCAGATCTCAATCGGATCTCCCAGGCTGAGTTAGCTTCGCAGTGGAGTATTCTTGTAAACCAAGCTCGAGCCACTCTAGAGGATGATGTAAAACGAGCGGCTTATATGGTATCTACGTTCTTCTGTTCTTCTGAACGGTTTATGTTTTCTGACATATCAGACTGATCCCACGTATCCTTACATCTCTACTCCGGGCACTCAAGCTTGAGTTAGACGGAAGGCTTTCAATGCCTGATGAAAGTGGGGATAAGTCAGTAGATCCAAATCTCTTGATGACATTAATGGAATCACACGAGCAGCTAGAAGAAGCCAAGACTGAGGTAGAAGTGATCGAACTTCAAAACGCCAACAAACGTACGTGAACTGATCTTATATAGAGTTCATCCCATCCAAGCTGATTATGGGAAACCCCGGGGTGTTAGAAATCATCCAAGAAACCGTCTTAAAGCTTGAGCAATTATGGAATTCCGATCGTCAACTTGACATTCAGACACTCGAACGTGCAAGGGCATTGGCCATCAAATTGAGATACTTGGAAACTATCGATCACAATTGTCGTGAATGGCGTCCACCGATCAGATGAATTTTCCCCATCACGCCTTTTCATGTTGGTTGGGGCAGGAGTTGAGCGAAAGGAAATCGTAGAACGTAGAGGCTTGGGAGTAGAAGTTTGGTTGTTATTGTAGTCAGTCCACTTGGGAGCCGGTGCAAATTAGAAGGTGTAGCACCGGATCAACTTGAAAGGACGTCCCTCGCCTTCGAGGTACATTTCTTTTGATCTGTATGATATTTTCAACCTAATCAATCGTAAAAGCATCAAAGTGGTTAAGAATCTGATCACTATGCATAAATGAAACTAAATCACTTTAGATCAAGATCTCAAAATGATATCCATGACTTGAATCAACATGAATTATGTAAAGATGAAAAAAGACAACTTTCACAAGTCCTTTAGTAAGTTGAGTTTATTAAAAGAACGATCATTATGATTGATAAGAAATCAAAGATGAACAAACAAATCGAATGCAATGCACCAAGTATACCCCAACACTCAAGAGAAAAAAATGACAAACCATGCAAAAGTCAAACAAAAACGTAAGACATCAATGATCTAATCCAAAAAATCTAAAGCTTAGGTACTTCATCAGGTTTAGATTGACCTTTAAGATCAGAAGGACCCATGATCCAAGAATACAAATTAAATTTAGATTCAGTATAAGGAGGATACCTAATAGCAAAAGCTTGATCAGTCCAACTAGCTAGATTTGCACAAGATCTTTCATATGTAAATGTTAAAAATGAATGATATCCATGATAACTTCCAGTTCCCTATTTCCGAAAACCGCCCCCAAAGAAATTAAGATATTAAGATTAGTGTTTTGTTTTGATTTGTTTTGATGGTTTGAATCTTGTTTTGAATGAAATCTTGTAAAACTTAACTGATTGACCAACTCCACCAAATGGTAAACCACCAATTGTGAATTGAATTAAAAGATCATTACCAATAATCTGTCCTGACTTAGAATGTTTTCTCACTACATATTAAGCCAATCCAAGCATTAATAAAGAATCAGGTAAACAAATCAGAATCATCATCGAAAACTTGATCAAAAAGAGTGCAAAGATACTAACCAAGTTCAAAGTTTTGAGAAGATTTAGTAAACACATAAATCGCTAATGGTTCAGAATCCGATATCTTTGGCAAAACGTCTTGAATTAATTCGTCTTCGGTTTCATAAGTAAGGATAGGTAAGATAGGTCCAAAGATTTCATCTTTTAAAATTTCATCATCATCTTTCAAATCTCGAATTAATGTTAATGGGATTCTTAGATCTTCATGAGGATCCGATTTCTTTGATTTAATTTGAATACTTTCTTCAATCTCAATGATTTCTCCTTTAGTAATTGATAATAAATCGTTTAATCTATTAAACTGATTGAGATTAATAATCTTACAAAATTGATCTTTTAATCCTAATCCGTTACTTTGAAGTTCACTTTCGGTTGATTCTTTAGGATATAATTCTTGAACCGCTTTCTTCAAAGATTCAATTAATTTGGTCTCATTCTTTTTAGATACTAAGATATGATTAGGTGCAATACAAGTCTGACCTGCATTCATTCCTTTTCCCCAAATCAATCTTTTAGCTGTTATATCAAAATCAGTATCATCAAAAACAATAGCTGGACATTTTCCACCTACACATCAAACCCCCCATCCCCAGAAAAACAAGACGTCAGTCAATCAATCTTCATCATTTCAAAAAAGTTCACAACACAAACCTAATTCTAATGTCACAGGTGTTAAATTCTCAGCAGCACATTTAGCCACAATCTTTCCAATCTGAGTAGACCCAGTAAAGAAGATATGATCGAATTTAAGATGAAGTAAAGTAGTAGATTGTTCTTTGGCTCCATTGATGATTCGAATATGATTGGAATCCATGTATTGAGGTATCAATTTCGATAATAAAAAAGCCACAGATGGTGCTTGTTCTGATGGTTTGAAAATAATCGAGTTTCCTCCTGATATAGCACCTACTAACGGATTAAGTAACAAAGAAATCGGATAACTAATCGAATCATGATACAAAGGATTGGTTAGTTGAGTTGAATCTGATGAAAGATCAAGATTGGATTTGAAAGGATCACTGACTTCCAAGCTCCAATGATCATCACTAAACCTTTAGGTTCATGATACGTCTTGGGAGAAGCTAGAAACCAAATCAAACTAGTCTTGGCGTTGATTGGCTTTATCCATGATTTCAAATTATTGATTGCAAATGAAACTTCTTGACGTGTACCATCTAATTCAGCTATATGTGCTTCAGATCTCGATCTACCTAACTTGAATACCAGCAAAAAGAAAAAGAAAGCTTTCAGAAATCGATTTGGTTCAAGAAGTGTGTGTGTTTTGCAAAACTTACGTCTTGGTTTAAAGCTTCTTCTAAAAGTGTTTCGTTTTCTTGTAAAAGGTATGCTAGTTGTTTTAATTGCTTTTCCAAAATAAAGTTTACAATTTCAAGTTGATTTAATTAATTTTATCAAAGTTCTTTAAAGTGATTAAAGGAGATAGTAGAAAAAAAACAGATTCCAAGACTTACATGAAGTCTCCATTCGATCGTATGAGTGAGCCGTGTCAAGTGATTAGTACGAAGTTCTTGATGAATCTATTATATAACATCATCGAATCTTTTAGTACTTGGTTCGTGGTTTCAATCGAGATTGAAAAGTGTGCAGGCTTACATTGTGAATCTCTTCGATTGAAGTGAATTGAGATTCCAGTTGTTCTGCTAAAGAGCCCATCTTGATCTGCAGATGGTTTGAAGTTGGAATAAACAAAAAGAATGAATAAAATCAAAGTTGAATGATCTGGTTGGTGATATTGTTGAGGTTGTGGTTATGATTGTGATTGACGTAAAAGTTGAAAATTTTGGAGACGCGCTTAATTTTCATATTTGTACACCTCGCGGTTTCATATGCGGGCACGTGCCCGGATTCTACTTTGTATCCCCTAATTGTATTGAACAATTTAAACTTGATTGCGAAGCTGGTGAACGAATTCAATCTGAACCTCATAGCCGTATGTAGGTCAATTTGTACGAATCGGTTGATTGAGGTCTTGATGATGTGAGTGAGATGAGACATGGTCAGAGTCTCAGAGATGTGCTGGGATGATCTTGTGACTGAAGCGAGAAAGCGATGAATCAGGATGAATCGGTGAGTGTTTGGTGATCAATGATGAATATGATGATGTCATCACAAATGGATTTCCAAGCTTTCGATCAGTATACAGACACCCTTCAATTCATCACAGCTCATGAAGTTTTCTTCTTGACTTCTCATTCTCTTCATCATTCAAGCCTCTTCTTCTTTACCAATCTCTCATATCAGTAGAAATAGTCATCATATCATATCAATATCAATATCATGAGCCTATCTAGTAAAGCTCAAGATCAACTTAACTCACAATTCACTTCGATTGATGAGATTCCAAAGGTAAAATCAAACCTCATTTCCATTCACATTATTGAACTCTTTAACCAGATTCACTCTAGTTTATCTTTCAATTCTATTTACTACCTGCCTATGACTTTCCTTTCACCAGATCCATCAAGAACTTCGCAAAGCTTTCTCAAATCGAATCACAAAAACTTTGGAATGGAGAACTCATGTCAGTGATCTTGATTACTTTTTCTCGGTATCATTCCCGAATCACCATTCCCTAAGGCTCATCAGCCGTCTTACGATCAATAGCAATTGAAGCAATTGGGATTTCTCTTGCAAGACAATGAACAATTGATTGAGGAAGCACTTGCAATCGATGTAAGTTTGACTGATCGTTAATCGGTCACTTGAAGAGTACAATTAAATAACTGGTTGACGAGTTGATCGACTACATATATGCAGTTAGGTAAGCCCAAAACAGAGAGTCATATAGGTGAACTAGTAGGCACTCGACATGAGGTCCTTTATGCTCTCAATAATGTCAAGTCTTGGATGGAGCCTCAATCTGTCAAGACCGATCTTGCCTGGCTCGTGACCAAACCGAAAACGTTTCATGAACCAAAAGGTGTGGTCTTGATCTTTGGCACTTGGAAGTCAGTCTTCAAATCTTATACTGTTCATCTCAATTACATGAGTCGAGTGTATTTTTACTTGACTTGGCGTTCACAGTTATCCGATCTCTCTTTCGATCATCCCCTTGGTCGGTGCAATCGCCGGTGGGAACGCTGTGGTCTTGAAGCTCTCAGAGCAAGCCCCAGCGATCGCCAATCTACTCACCAAGCTCATTCCCCAATATTTGGACAACAATCATATTCGTGTTGTCAATGGTGCTGCAGATCATTGTAATGCACTCCTTGACCTCAAGTTCGATCACATCTTTTTCACCGGTTCTACTCAGGTCGGAAGAACTGTAGCTAAGCGAGCTGCAGAACACATGACACCTGTCACCCTAGAATTAGGTCTGTCGACCTGATTTGGTAGTCAAATGTCTACATAAAAAGACTTACAGATATCCTTCTCCATCTCAACCCACATCTTGCCTACAGGTGGAAAAAGTCCAGCCATTGTCTTTGACGATGCAGACTTTCCCGTTATTGCTCGTCGATTGATCTGGGGTAAAGGCATGAATGCTGGCCAGACCTGTGTTGCACCCGACTATATCTTGGTTTCCAAGAAGAGCGAAGCTAAATTGATAACCAGTCTAAAAAAGGCAATGCAAGAGTTGTATCCTCTAGACTCGGCCTCAGGCTTATCGGCCAAAAAAATAATCAATGCTTCAGGAAAATCGGGAGATGGACCAGATGATCTTCAATATAGTAAAATCGTCAACCAAAACCAATTCAACAGACTGAACAACGTGCTTCAAGAAACCAAAGGGGAATTCATCCCGACGGATGATACGTTTCAGGCAGGAACTAAGGATTCCTCAGATGCGCAAGAGCTGAAAATGCCTCTGACTTTGGTCCGAAACTTGACCATGGAGGACCCTGTGATGCAAAACGAAATCTTTGGTCCGATTTTCCCTATCCTCACTTACGATCTTCAATCCGAATCGATGGCCGAGATCTTGCGCCCGATTGCGGATGCTGAACCATTAGCTCTATATGTCTTTACTCAATCTTCACAAAACTTTGAGCTTGGTGAGTAGCTTAACTGGTTGATGAAGAAGAAGATGATGATGCTCATTGGGATGCTTGGTACAAACATCGTACTCGGAATGGCTTCGTTTGAATCACGATCCGTTTAGTGAGACAACATACGAAGTCGGGTCAGATAATGTGCAATGACCTCTTGATCCAATTTGCGATCCCAGGTTTGCCTTTTGGAGGAATCGGTCAATCAGTTGAGTATACTTATTACACGTCTCAAGAATTTGCCACCAATCATCATAACTGACCGTATCAAAACCTTTTATGGGAACTAAAAGGGTTCTGGCAACTATCATGGTTACTATTCGTTTTTAACATTCACCTATGAGCGATCCTCCGCCAACCTTCCGACATGGGCCGACTTCCTCTTCAATGCTCGATATCCGCCTTATACACCTTTCAAGCTCAAGCTTTTCTCTGCGATCATGGGACCAGCCCGGATCAAGGGTAAATCCAATCCAGGATTGGTACCGAAGAGTGCTGAAGTTGGTAAACGTTCATGGTTGCCTACCTTAACCCCACTGAGCTTTTCAACTTTACTATTGGCTGGATATTATGCTTTGTCTCGTCGATATGGTTCGGATTATTTGAAGATTTGGATGACACGATTTATTGGAGCTATTAAACAATCCAATCGCTGATATCTCAAGATACCATTGGATTCTTGCTCGAAGAACTCGACTTCAAGACGCGATTAACCCTCAGTCTCCTTGGTTCTCAACTCGCTTTTATTTCGTATTTCACCCTTAGCAATTTATCTCTTTGTCAACATGCGATTATCAAGATTAGTAAAGATCAGTGATTCAAAGTACTTAAATACAAAAACCGGTAAAGTTTAATTAGTAATCAGTATCAAGACTGAATGGTTCATTAGCTCGCTTTTAGTTCATTAATTACCCTCACTGAAACTCTCTTTGTCGACATCCAAGCGATAAAAGTCAGGCAAAAAACAGTGATTCAAAATGCTTTTATACAAATTTCAACAAAGTTTGATGGTCAGTTAACCCTAGCGCTAAATTGGTCTTCAACTTGCTTTTATCTTTCCTTCAAATCAAATCTAACTCTGAAAAACAAACACAAAAAATCAGTAAGTTTAAATTTAGTGTTGCAAAGTATGTTGATGCAAAACAATTGTTGTAATGATTAAATTTTAAGGTCTTTTTTTGAGTTTGAATTCCCAAAGACATTATAATTCCATACTGATCGCTCGTGATTGTAATGTGACTTTATTCCCTGTGACTAAAGAAACATGATTTCTGATCAAAAGTGAATCTCATGAGTCACTCTGACCAGAAAAATCAATCAGTTAATTAAGATGATTGTTTATCTTTATAGGTGAGTATTCTGGATTGGCTGATAATTGAAGTTTCTAAGAAACCTCTTTTACACAGTCAAGATGAAAGATTTAATTTTCCAAAGTCAAAAATGATTGACTTGGAATCTGAGAAAAATGATTGATCAAAGATGTAGTGATTCTGCATTTGGCCTGCACATGTGCGGTATGTAACAGTGAAGACTGCATTTTTCTGCATTAATAATGTGTTTTTTGGGATCGACACATTGGTCTGAATTGGTTTTGATATTTGATTGGAATTGTTTTGTATAGTGGGGCTTGGGCCTTTGGCAAGGGACTTTTTTAAGTTTGCATCTGCACAGTGTCAGGAATGGGTTTGATAGAATTGCTGGATGGGGTTGACTGCAAACTTAACCAAGTCCCTTGCCAAAGGCCTGAGCCCCAGCAAGGGACTTACCGCATAAAAGGGAATCCTGGTGTGAGAAGTAGCCTGTATTGGCTCAAGAAATGCTACTTCAAATTCTTTGGTTTGTCTCTGAATAAACAGGGCTTGGAGGTAAATAAAAGGAAGACTGCAAAGGTTCATTACATATGATCCAATTGCAAGCTCCCCCAAATATTCTCTGGAAATCGGGCTACTGGGGGTTTGACAATATTGGTTCTTTTTTGACTTTTTCTGAGCAGCAAGCCACTCAAAGCCTGTATTTCTCAGAAAGCGGTGGAAATGATCAATCTTCAACTACTCAAAAATATAACTTCCCAGCAAGATTGAAAGTAGCTTGGAATTGGTACATATGTAATGGTCCCTTGCCATTTTCTTTTGCCTTTGTATCAAGACATGTTTATTGAGAGGGAGAAACATTAAACGGATGTAGAGAATTTGGAACAAATACAGCTCACTTCTCATGCCAGGATTTTGTTTTATGTGGTAAGTCCCTTGCTGGGGCTTGGGCCTTTGGCACAGAGCCAGCAAGGGGAGCACCACAGGATCCGGGGAATTTTCTGGCAATTTGGGAATGGGACTTGTCTGGGACTGTGATGGGATTCTGGGAATACTATGTGTTATGCTATAAGGATATCACAAGCATATTGTATGTAGGAACAAAACTGGTTCTCGAAAATAGATTAAAGTCAGAAACCCTCAGAGGCCTCACCTGTCACAGCCTCAGCATTTCATCTTTTGCCTCCGTGTTTCAAGCAATTTTTTTTGCCAGTCCCTATCCTACATTTGTCTACGGCAATTCCAATTCATTATATAATGCCTTCCCTGCCAGACTTGACCCTTATTCCAACCACGTCCATCAACAATCACCTTGAATTTAACAATGGTTGTCCCAACACTGATCCACAAACGTTATGTCAAGACCAACCCCGACATTGTCGCCCTCCCTGCGCCCACGCCTCGTGGTCCAGTAGGTCTCCTCTGGCCCGTCTGTTCCATTGAATTGGTCTATTGGACAGCAAAACACAACACTTGGGTCATTGCTGTGAGTTTCCATTTACTACTTGAGATCGAGTGCTAGCGCTGACTTCAGACCTTCCCGTCCGTGTCCACAGTGTCCAACCAATTACAACAATCATAATTGGAAGACCTGGCGGTGCAATCAATTGAACCACAAACTTGCAATGATGAACATGGGTGTTAGTCCACCCATCATTTTTGCAGCCGGGCAACTGGGGTCCAAGGGTATCCCCGACTGGCCAAATCCTAGACAATGCACCAGCAACCAATCCTTCCGTGTGGTACCATCAGTACAAAAAACAAAATCAACTTTCACCCCCTTCCCAACCAAAAAAACCTCCACTTCAATGTCAACGTGTAAACGAGGGCACAACAGCTCAAAACCATAAGAAGGTAGCCAACAAAGGCTGCAACTCTCAGTACTGCCTTGGAGTACGTTCAAACTTTTCTCAAATAAACTATTTAATAAAAATCAAGTTCACTGAGGTTGATTTGTTACCTTTTTCATTTTTCAAGTGCTGCATTTCATTCAGGTCCTCTCTCTGCTGTGTTCACCTGCTGTAGAACTTATAACCCAACAAGGGTTATACAGAGCTGGAAGAGGATAATCTCCTAATACAATGACTAGTAGAATTTGTCTGAGACTGCTCTTCTAAAACAACACAATCAGGAAAAGTTGCTGTTGTATTGAGTACAGATAAGGCACCAGAGGAATATAACTTTCACACGTATTTTAACTTCAAAAGCACACTTTTTATTACTATCAACACTGCTATAGTGTTATTTACAAATGATAACTGAAGAAAATAAGCAATATCTTTATGATATTATTCCCAATAAGTCTTTTTGACTGCAATACTAAAGTAAATTTCTCTTTATAGCTATAATAAAGGGCCTATTTAAGTGACCAGGTACTATTAAAATAAGTTTATGATGATAAACAAAATAATAACTGTGTAAATGATAAAGAAAAATGGGTCACAACAGTCCCAAAATAATCTCAAAGTATATATAACAATGTACTCCAACTTTTACAATGGTCAACAGCCTCAAAACCAATCAAATCTGCCCAAAAATCCCTAAAAACCCTATGATGACGCAATGTAATGATTTTGTTACTAATAAATGATGTAATTTTCACAGCTAAAAGTGATGAATGACGCAATAATATGATGTACAGCACTTCTTATGATGAATACAGGTGATTGTTTCCTTGTAAACTAGCTGAAAACCAAATTTTGAGATTACAAATTTTTTCAGATAAGGTCCAATTTTTGATTACTAAAGTGCATCTTGTAGCCCTTGTCTTACTGATCATTTATCACCCCCATATGACCTATTTCCGATGAGTGATGAGTAAGATATTGAGTTGTGAAGTTAAGCTTTTTAGGCCTAAGATTATTCTACCCGCGTGATCTGCAACAACTATTGGAATTCTCTCTACTCCCACAAAGAGAAAACACTTTGAAATTTTCAGTTCCGACAATATGAAATGCAAATGAAGTTTGACGACACAAGAAAATGTTTTCAGAAAGTATTCTCGACGATTTGCAATTTGACTTGCCAAATTTTTGTACATGGGAGAGAACCTGATGTTGATACCTCGTGCCTTGGGTACATAAATGGTTAGTCTCCGTGGACCAAAGGTCCGCCGAGGGTACTGTGGCTTCAAAGTTTGCCGTGCAGGACTATATGGGGGTCCTCATCAATAATCCCAGTGATTGATCTCAACACCGGTAATAGTTCAAAACGCTGTGACGAGAAATGGATGCCCGGCAGTGGAAAATCCTAACCACCCGCCACTGTTAACAATGAATGGCGCAGTGCCGCTTGCCTTTCGATGTTCCAAAACTTGACAACACCGTCTTTGAAGACAAACAGCCACATTTGAGTGCGGCGAAATGGGAAGGGAAGCTGCTAAAAGGGCGGAAATGACACCCACTGAGCTACACGGTTCAACTCGCTCCACGCGCAGAAACGGACGCGCAGCGTCCCAATCCACCGGATCAAATCACACTTTGGCAAAAATGTGTGTTGTGTGTGGATTCGTCGCCACCACTGCTGAAACCGCGCAGCAACATGGTGATTCACGTATTCCGGATACCCAGGAAAGACAAGTGCAATTATTGTGCATTGACAGCAACATTTTGCAGGGTGAATCCGACGAAAAGCGGCCGCTGGGTTGGCTTGGTGCTCAGGATCCTTACGCTTAGAGGTAACTTGTGCAAATCATTTGAATCCCCCGCTGTGTTCGCTCTATTTGGGCCTTGGTTGAATTCGCACCAAGTCAAAAGCACCGCTGCGATGGCCTCCCAGCGGCCTTCAAAACCTCGCCAAACTGACAACTCGCACCCCGACGGCAACTACATCTTTACTCACCAGAAACCACCTCCCTCCAAGGCTCATGAGAAGTCTGAACGCACCACCTGTCGTGATTTTCCTCTCATTGCCAATGTAAACGATTGGCTCCCATTTTCGCTTGTTGCCCTCGCCCCACCCACGCCAGGCTACGACTTCAACCCCTCCTTGAACCGCTTTGTTCGGGACACGACAAGGACACCTCCCTTTTTCCCTGACCCCGTATTTTGCTGCACTTTACCTCGGGAGGATGGCATTGTTGAACATGTAGTCTTTGCAATGACTTCATCTTCCCCCTGGATTTATCAAAGGGAGCGGCCCAACGGTTTCACCCATACCGCTACCGGTATTCTTGACGCATCCTGTGGACCCAACCGCTCCAAACCTGGTCCTAAGCGCCGTCACCAGTGGACTCACACTTATTATTGCTTGTCTTCCGGTAACCCATCTCGTCAAGTTAAATGTACGAAAACCGATGCGACCCGCCGTTCCTCAGGCAGCAACCGTGTTGGCTGCACTGCCAAATTTTTTATTCGCAAGACTTTATATGGCTACTACAAATTTGAATGGTTTTGGGAGCACACCAATCACAACCCCTTTTCCCTTGAAGACATGCGTAACAAGAGATTACCACAAGCCGTCAATGAGTGGCTTAACGAGAAGGTTGTTAGTGGACTGAAGTGGGCTACAATCAAGTACTTGAACCGTGTACCTGACCTATTCCCGGTTTGTCATATCCCACTATGTGTTAGTCCCAAACCCAACTGACCATACTCACTTCAAATTCCCCGAGGCAGGAGGAGAATGATCCCCTTCGTGCTGTCCCCAAGGGCTTCAACATCAATTACCAAACCGTAGCCAATCGGATTCGCAAACAAGCCCGCAAAATCACAACCCTTGCCAACTGTCCCGTCGCCTCGTTAGACACCTGGGTTGATTGCCTCAAGGAACGTGGTTGGCACACTTACAAGGACATCCGGCTCACACATCGACGCATCCAGTTCGGCTTCATGTCGCCATGGCAGCGCACCCAGCTCAACATTCACGGTGGCGACCTAGTTTGTTTTGATTGTACTTACAATATCTGTCAACCTATTGAAAGCGGCCCTTGGCCAAAAACCACTCTAGCTCTGCTTACACTCGTGATTCGCAATCCCGTACCGGCAGAGCACAAAAAGCGGTAATTCATTCTGGCGCGATGTCTACTGCCTGCGTCTGGGGTAACTGGGGCCCCCCTT